CATTCATTTGTGCTGAAAAAATTGCTTTTCCCCCCTTCTTCTTCTAATTTTGGGGATTTTTGTAGCAACGGATGGATCATCTTCGAGCGGTAAGAAGCGGGAGCGGGGGATTAGGGATTCCACCGCCGGAGAAATTTGGCGGGCGGGGGCAGTTTCCTCGTGGAGTGATCCCTCCATCGAGGACAATGCCGGTCGTGGAGAATTACAGTGAGGGTTCAGATATGGATGAATCGTCGGATACCGAGGAGGAGATCTACAGAGGGAGGTACTCTTTGGATTCATCCCCTCAAGATGATATTTTGAGACGGAAGAACCCAAATGTGAACTCGAAGTTTGGAAGTAATCAGTATTCGAGCGACGGATACTCGGGGTATTCTGAATTCAGCTCGTCGAGGGAGACAGGGATCTCAGGGAGGCAACAGCCGCAGCAAAGGAAGCCGGGGGTTGTTAGTGGGTACACTGAGGAGGAAGAGGAGGAAACCGATTCTGGTGGGAGTTCTGAGTTTGTATCAAAGATGGGGACAGGTAATGGTGTGAATTCACAGGGGAATTATTATCGGCCGGAGAGCTATTTGCGTAAGGTTCCACTTCAGAACGGTTTGAAAATTGCTGCCAAGGAGGTTTGTTATGCCTCTGCATTTGTCTCTTTAATTCATATAAGTAGTCATTGTAGGTATTGTATGGCTGATTACTTGTAGATTGTTTATTGACTTGGTAATAAATCCCGAAACCTTGTTGAACTCAGTACCTTGAACATATTTCTTGCCTCGTTGCCTAAAAATAGTGTCAGTATCAGACTGTTACTGTGGGGCCATACAAGGAGTATGCTGTAATGAAACATAGAATACCTTTGATTCCCTATGATGAGAAAATGGTTTGAACAGATATTTGATAGTTTTATGGTTTTGGCTCACTTTGCTGCTTCCTTTTACTATTATTGCTTTCATTTTGTATGATGGAAAGAAAAAGAGAAAATGCTATCTTTTCCACTGCATGTTGAGGTTTTTTTGTTTTGCGTCGTCTCCATCAAATCAGTTCTCTTTCTAAATTGTAAAGCTGGAATATGTCTCCTTCACTGTTATTGAGTTTTCATATATCATATATTGCATGATTCCATGATGACTGATAAAGAAAAATGTAATATTTTGACACAACAGTGTGAATCCTTCAAGTTTTCAGTGTTTCCTTTAAGCCCCTTGAGTATAGCTAATGAAGTTTGCCACTGGAAAAGATATAGTAGACCACTGTTAAATGTAGGTTTCAAAATACACTCAAAAGGCGAGGAAACTTACATGGAAGAGGAGGAAACCGATTCTGGTGGGAGTTCTGAGTTTGTATCAAAGATGGGGACAGGTAATGGTGTGAATTCACAGGGGAATTATTATCGGCCGGAGTTCTGAGTTTGTATCAAAGATGGGGACAGGTAATGGTGTGAATTCACAGGGGAATTATTATCGGCCGGAGAGCTATTTGCGTAAGGTTCCACTTCAGAACGGTTTGAAAATTGCTGCCAAGGAGGTTTGTTATGCCTCTGCATTTGTCTCTTTAATTCATATAAGTAGTCATTGTAGGTATTGTATGGCTGATTACTTGTAGATTGTTTATTGACTTGGTAATAAATCCCGAAACCTTGTTGAACTCAGTACCTTGAACATATTTCTTGCCTCGTTGCCTAAAAATAGTGTCAGTATCAGACTGTTACTGTGGGGCCATACAAGGAGTATGCTGTAATGAAACATAGAATACCTTTGATTCCCTATGATGAGAAAATGGTTTGAACAGATATTTGATAGTTTTATGGTTTAGGCTCCCTTTGTTGCTTCCTTTTACTATTATTGCTGAAAGTTTGCAAGACTTGTGTTGTTTATGATTTTCATTTTTTATGATGGAAAGAAAAGGGGAAAATGCTGTCTTTTCCACTGCATGTTGAGTTTTTTTGTTTTGCGTCATCTCCATCAAATCAGTTCTCTTTCTAAATTGTAAAGCTGAAATTTGTCTCCTTCACTGATATTGAGTTTGCATATATAATATATTGCATGATTCCATGACGACTGATAAAGAAAAATGCAACATTTTGATACAACAGTGAGAATCCTTCAAGTATTCAGTGTTTCCTTTAAGACCCTTCAGTATAGCTAATGAAGTTTGCCGCTGGAAAACATATAGTAGACTACTGTTAAATGTAGGTTTCAAATGACACTCAAAAGGCGAGGAAACTTATATGGCATACTGTTTTAACGTCATCAAAATTCTTCTTTTGATTTCTATCAAGCAAATTAACAAAGCAAGCCTATTACTTCTAAAATTTAAGGATAGGCTTGAGCCATAAGATTGGTCTATATAAGTTACACTTGAGATTTGTGGCTCCTCATCTATAAATATAGAATAATTTACTCATCATATAGACAAGCTCTGCAGATTCTTTGTAGATCTGTGGTAAGTGAGTGGCTTTAGCATGGTGCAATTAACAAAATAAGTCTAGCACTTATAAATGTTAAGGATCAGCTTGATCCACAAGATTGATCAGTATGGATTACACTTGAGATTTGTGGCTCCGTCATCTATGAACACAGCATAATTTAGTTATCACATGTATAAGGTCAGTTTGTCATAATAGGTCCTAAGATTTTTCCTTGATGAGGTGTTTCCCGCGGATTCTGTATTCATCTGGTGGTGGATTAGATGTATGTGAGTGGCTCTAGAATGGTGATAAAGGTGGTAGGCATAGCAATGCTGTGGCCAGGGAAAGAACTTCGAGACAATTATTCAGTCCATTCTTAAAGGATTGAATAGACTGTTGGATAATACGGTTATCTGGAAGAGCCTGAAACTTAAGGGGATAGGTAGGATTCTTGGATTGTTGATTTTGTTTCCTGAGTAGGTGTATAATTTGGAGTGCAGAAACTTTAGAAAAACTTTAGAAGGATTTTGTAGAGTTTTCTTTTCGATTTCAAGCTGACCAAGCGCAATGCAAGTGACATGAGATTCAGTTTAGCTTACTTTCTCAAGCTGCCACTATGATGGTGTACAAATTTGCACTATAAACCTGAACAGATTTTGTATGGACGACGAACAGAAGAATGCTGAGATCAAATTTTCAACCGGGAGAATGCTAGGATCATTAAGTCAGATATCTAACTTCTATCACTTATTTCCCAACATCATTTCTAAGAGATTTAGCCAAACAAAAGGCAATATGAGATATAAATTACTTTCTCAAGCTGCCGATAAAATGGCATCTAAATTGTGCACTATAAACGTGAGCAGATTTTGTATGGCACAGTGAACAAGAGAATGCTGAGATCAAATTTTCAACCAGGAGGATGCTAGGATCATTTATGTCAGTTGGATATCTAACTTTTATAATTGATTTCCCAACATCAATTCTGAGAGATTTAGCTGAACCAAAATCAATGTGAGATATATATTACTTTCTCAAGCTGCCAATATGATGGCTTTTAAGCTGTGCACTATAAATCTGAACAGATTTTGTATGGCACAGCGAATGTTGAGATCAAGTTTTCAACCAGAAGGATGCTAGGATCATTTAAGTCAGTTAAATGTGTAACTTTTATCATTGATTGCCGAACACCATTTCTAAGAGATTTAGCTGCACCTAGATCATCAACTTGAAATATATATGAAGATGCACGTTTAAATCATCATAATAAAGACGAAAGCAATCGAGTAACAAAACTGGTTCATCTTCCCTACAATTTTAGAGAAGATCTGATTGCTTGACCATACTCAAATATAGGATCATAGACAAATATAATAGGGTCCTGATGTACCGATTAGAGGTAGATCTGGTCAGATGGTAGCACTAGTGAGAATACTGTGGTAGGAAAGGGAGTAGCAGGAAATCAACAAGGATTTGAGGTTGTTATGTCTTCTTGCTTGGAGACTAAGTGTGTGGAGAATATAAGGGCAGTTGTGGCGGAATTTGTGCATTGGGAGGCTTGAGAAGTTTAGAATCCCTTTTATTGCGTCATTTAGGTCATGTATTGACTAGAGGTAGTTCTGGTTATAGGATAGTAAAGAAACTGCTAGTGAAGGGAGTAGTTGAAAACAGACAATGCTTTTAGTTCGTTAGATATTCTAGCTCTGAATCCTGATACTGAAGCTGAGGTGAGATTCTAAGGAACTGGTAGCAGAATTTGTTCTCTTGGAAGGCTCGGGAGGCTTAAAATCCTTTTAGGGTGTCAATTAGGTCATGCTTAGTCCCCTATGGAACCGGTTTCAGGTTGCCAGGCCTTTAGATATTTAACTATGTTGGATTTGACAAATAATGGAAGAATTTCTTTTAATGAATATGGTGGATAAGTCACAATCTCTATGTAAGTAGAATGAGAATTCCTTTCAGCATGGTGGGCATCTAATATGAACTTCAATCACAACCACGCCTTGTATCAACACTCCTAGTTCCTCTTCAAATAAGAGTCCCTAATTGCAATCTTAGGTTTGCTAGGATTTCTAGGCAACTCCTTTAGGCTAGCTGGTGATCCTAGAGACCTGAAATTATGTGATTGGTCAAATATGAGGCCAACGAAATGAACCAAAAAAGTTTACTTGATCCATTATTGTAACGTGTACGTTTGTACTAAAAGCTATTAGAGCAGGTGGCAACATGCCACACAAGGGAAGTATATTGTTCCACTGATATACATAAAGGTGAGCTACTGGCTGAGCTAAAACGAAGATACACGAATTACAAGTATAATTTGCAGACAAACTTTGGTATGATTATGCAAATGAAGGTATCTTCTCTGTTGCTATTTCAGATCCTGCTCATGTTTTGCTTTCTCTACATCATGAAATGCATCTCATTTCTAACACTTTAGTTATGCCATGGTTTCTTAAGTCAAGCATTGTTGTCTAGTTATTCAATAGTTGCATTGTGAACTCTTGCCATTGGAGAAATCTTGTTTTTTATTTAGGAACCCCTCTGCCTCTCAGTTTATTATCCTTTGCTGTGGCAGTAGTCATTGAGATCATTTGATTGGCTCTCCTGCAGCTAGGGGCTAATGGTACTTAATTATTTTCTTACAATTATTTAAATGTGCAGCAGTCAAAATTAATGATCCAACATAACCATAGTTGGCTAGATATTTATGTCAAAACCCAATTAAATCACATTGCTTTGTTATTCTGTGTGTCTCCTTCCAAGTTAAAAGGTAATTCTCTGCCATTTTCTTCTCTATACTACACTTGTCCGGTGAAAATTTTCCTTAAAAAAGATAGTATTAAACATTGAATGCTATTATGCTTCATGATATTGATTTGATTAAGATATCTCTCAGTAAATGACAATTTACATATTGAATATTCATTTTATTGTTGTCTGCCTATTAAATTTTATGAGTTATTTTTAACTCAAGTAAATTAACAGTTCTTTATTTTCTTTTGCTAAATATTTGTGCGTTCAGGATTGCCATTCTGTCCCAAGTGCTCCACCTTTTCATGCTTCTCATGAAGAAATTAACGAAGCTTCTGATCAGATATCTACACCAAAGGAATATGCTTCTACACGTCCTGTAAGGCCCAATGATTACCCTACAAAAAGTGAAGCGAATTCACATCCTATAGCAGAAAGCAGTATACCCAACCAAGACACGAGGTATTTGCACTATGTACTTTGCTTCCTCAAATATTATATTAGAAAACGACACAAGCACCATCATATGTTAGTTGCTAAGGTATAATATTATTGATCTTCTTAATAGCTCTTCTGTTAATGCTGAGGGAGCTGCAGCTTCAGGTTCTTTGCCTGCCCGAGTACCTATTTTTCATGCCAGGTATAAAAATTTTGGAATAGAAACAACACTTTTTAAAAATCCTTAATGTTCTTTATCAACACTAAAATGAATCACCATGGTTATACAACTTAACGATTCGTGTTTTCTCCTTTAGTCTTCAAATCAGCATGTTCACTAATAGTTTTTTTGTTTTGTTTTTTGACTACATATATAATATCAGTGGACAGGGGCCTTGGTATGCCGTTATTGCATATGATGCATGTGTTCGTCTCTGTCTGCATTCATGGGCTAGAGGCTGCATGGAAGCTCCCATATTTTTGGAAAATGAATGTGCACTTCTGAGGAATGCATTTGGGTAAGTATATGCATTTTTTATGTTTACACAGCTAGATATGTGATGAAACTGCTTAAAACAATCTGGAACTTGGTTATTGTGAGAGAATATGCAAGTGCATATAGCAAAGTTGACATATCTAGTTGCGATTAGAGGCTTTTGGATGAGCTAGGCCGCTAGTTTAATCAGTCTATTAAAATGCTCTCTTTAATATTTTCCTCAGTCAATAAGCTCCCCGGCTTAGCAGTGACCATTGCTGCATAGTGCATTGGTGAAAGCTTCCTCTAGTTTCCATGAAGCTCAAGCATTTTGGCTTTGCTCATTGAGCTGTGTACTACAGCGTACATATTCCCTAGGCCAGTCACTCTCTTTTTGGCTTTACTTGGATATCAACGATTTTGACCACCAATAAAAAGCCACATAAGCATCTACAACTCCTATCATTATTCTCATTAATGTTAATATGTAAGGCTGATAACGTGTTGAATTGTCTCTAAAATTGTTTAATTGTTTTTTTTTGATTTTATCTTTAGTATATGATGGTAAGAATGTGCAATCTTCAAATTAACATGAAATATATGAATGTTACGGTTTTTGCTAGCAACATTGCTTAAGGGATCATGCTATTCATTTTACGCTTCACATTTTGAATTATAGCATGAACTTAGCCGAATAGGTGAAGCTTTGCATGGCTCTACTTCTGGTGTATCCTTCTAGTTTAGTCCTTACAGTTGTTTCCCTATTCTATGGTGCAGTTTGCAGCAGATATTACTTCAGTCGGAGGAAGAACTTCTTGAAAAAAAGTCTTCAGAACTTGTAAGTGAAGGAGCTGCAGTTAAACCAAAGAAGGTCATCGGGAAAATGAAAGTTCAAGGTTCAGTACCTTCTATTTGAAAACACTTCTTGTTCCTATCTTTTTAACGTTTTATATATTTAGCCAGACATCATGAAAAGCCTCAGTTATTCAACACCTTTCTTCATTAAGTTACATTCAAGACCACCATCTGACCTAGACATTCTGTTTCCAGTGCGCAAAGTCAGAATGGCTCTGGACATGCCATCAGGCTGCAACTACCTATCCCTCACAACTCCAATGGTAAAACTGGAATCTTTCAAGTATCGTATGTCCAACTTACAGTCGACCCTCTCGTCTGGATGGGAGTCACTTCGAAAGGTTCGAGTTTTGCCCCGTTTACCTGCCAATAGCTCTTTTTCTCGGCATAGCTTGGCATATATGCATGCCAGCACACAATACATCAAACAGGTATCTGGACTTCTTAAAATTGGTGTGACTTCCCTGCGCAACAGTTCATATGAAGTGGTCCAAGGTACTATAAAGAGGTACTTATGGTTAAATTTTGTAAGATCATTTCTAATGACTTTTCTGTTTGTGTCAGAATCATATTCTTGTTTACTGAGGTTGAAAAGTTTAACCGAAGAGGATGCTGTTCGAATGCAAGCCGGATCTAGCGAAACACATGTCTTGTATGTATATATTTTTTGTTACTGAACTTAGTTCTTTAATAAATGATAAATATCTTCTTACTTTTACATGTTCAGTGCTACACACACCCCTCTGTCGTCCCTATGCTCTTGATCTGCAGCGGCGTCCATGTCCTTCATCTATATAACATGATGCCCCATATGGATACTTGAAGGATACTTCTTTGTCCTCTATTGGGAGCATGTATCTGACATCCGTCCAAGATTTTTCTAATATATTTTCAATTTTGGATTAATTTATTTCACTTCATAGATTCACTTTGACGCTTTTGAAACTTTATTGCCACTTTTAACTATAACGTTTATATAATATATTATTATAATTTCTTTACGCATGTTTTCAACATGAATACCATTAGATAGTTAAGCTTCTGATTTGAACAATATAAGGAACTAAAAGTCTAAAACTCTTCCTATATTTTTATTCAAATGAAAGAAATATTTATGTTTGTTGTAAGGAAGTTTACATTGTTGTAATATTATATACAAAAAGTATGTGCTTTTGCATCCGCTGTGTATTTGTGGATGTGGATGCCTGTTCTACATGTGGGTTGTCCATGTCATTTCATGCATTTCTTTCAAGATTTACCATATTGATATATTTGTTTGTGTTTATGTCTTGTCCTGTTTCAATCCATCCAACATAGTTTTTCCTTTTACCCAATACAACTGTGTATTTTGCTTAAATGTGGCCAACATACATCTGTTACTAATAATTGCATTTTAACAACAGTTTACCGGACAGTTTAGGAGATGATTTAATTATTGAAGTGTATGATTCAAAAGGAAAGTTGCATGGGCGTGTGATTGCTCAGCTTGCAAGTATAGCTGAGGATCCAGTAAGAATCTCCAGTTCCATATCTCACTACTTCTAGGAAGGTAGTTATCTTGCTTCTGACTTTTTCCCTAACTTGCAGAGTAACAAAGTTCGTTGGTGGTCAATCTACCGTGAACCAGAGCATGAGCTCGTCGGACGCATGCAGCTTTACATTAATTACACTACTAGCACAGATGAGAACGGTGCCCTAAAGGTCATCAGACAATCTTCTTTCTTACTTCTGAAGCATCATAGATCACCACTTATTGACTATGATTTGTGGACACGATCATGAGTTCATCCTTTGACAAAAATTGGGTGCCACATGCAGTAATTGTTAAAATCCAAACATGAGAACACACACATGCATGTAGACATACGTGTATAGATGAAAGACATTGACACTGCTATTTGAATTTCTATTTTTGTAGTGTGGCCCTGTTGCAGAAACTGTTGCATACGATTTGGTTCTGGAAGTTGCAATGAAGGTGCAGCATTTTCAACAGCGCAAATTGTTATTGCATGGATCATGGAAGTGGTTGTTGACAGAATTTGCCTCTTATTATGGAGTTTCAGATGCTTACACAAAACTAAGGTATTCCCATGTTTTCTTTTTTACTTCCTTTTCTTTCAGGTTCTTACCTTGATATCTGCTAGGTTTCCTGTGCTAGGATTCTGTTGAATTTCATGACATATATTAATATTCTGTAAATTTTTTCAGATATCTTTCTTACATTATGGATGTGGCAACCCCAACAGCTGACTGTCTCATGTTGGTTCATGATTTGTTATTGCCTGTTATTTTGAGGAGCCGCAGTAAAAATGCTCTAAGTCATCAAGAGGTACCTCTTTTCTTTTTTTGTGGTATTATCATCTTATGTAAAGTATATAGATGAACCATAATTTGTTAACTTTCTTTCTCTTATGTTTGTGAAGTTTTTTCTGTCCACATTTACAAAATACTTATCTGTTGCACCCAGTGCATGTAAGTTTTTTATCTCTTGCCTGGAGGATTGTTAATTTGTATATGATTTAAATATAAAAGAGTAACATTTTATATGTTCCAATTTTTCTTGTTCATAAGAATGTTATAAGTTTCTTGGTTGGACTCGTATATTAATGATGTGCGCTGAGGTAATTGTTTTTGCAATGTTTTCAGAATCGCATACTGGGAGAAGTTGTGGAGCAACTTGAGATGATTCTAGCTATGGGCTTTGAGAATTACAAGTCATTGGATGAGTCATCACCTTCTGGAATGGTGGATGTTTTCAGGCCTGCAACAGGATCTCCAGCCCCAGCATTGGCACCTGCAGTAAAGTTGTACACTCTTCTCCATGACGTACTGGCTCCGGAGGCACAATTAAAGTTATGTGGCTATTTCCAGGCAAGTCTATATGTTTGTCTCGGAGTGTTTTTGAAGTCCCCATGCTTATTTATTATGTTATACATTTGAATTGCCAATATGTGTGACAGGCTGCTGCTAAGAAGAGGTCAAGAAGACACTTGCTTGAAACTGATGAGTACATAGCGGCCAGTAATGAAGGAACCTTGACGGATGTTGTAACCTTTTCTACTGCTTACCAGAAGATGAAAAATTTATGCCTAAATGTCAGGAATGAAATTTTTACAGATATTCAAATCCATGATCAACATGTTCTCCCCAGGTAGATTTTATGTCAACTTTCACCTCCCAATACCATTACTTGAATAGCCTCTTCTTTTAAATTTCTTTAAATGTCTGCATATTGTAGATTTGAAGGTAGTTTATAGGTCAATTCATACCAGATATTTTGTAACTTTCACATTCATGATCATCACTCTTTGCTGTGTAGCTTTTGGTTTTGTTAAATCTTTTAATTGTTGTATGCATTTGTAGAATATCAATGTAGTTCTCTAGATTTATTCATCAGACATTATTGACAAGCAACGGATAGGTTCATTTAGGCCCTGCATATTCATATTAGCATATTGTCGTAATTGCAAGGTGAAACCTTGAGACAGATGTATCCTCCACCTCTCGTCTCCACGAATGTCTGTTTTGTGTGCAAGCACATACTGACATGTGCTTTCCTTTTACCGAGAAACATGCATGCATTTGTATTAATGTGTACGATTTTGATTATTCAATTGTGTGTGTAAAAGCCAATAAATACAGATTCATTTATTAGGAATTGCTGTCTGTGCATCATAATAAATAGAGTCCCTGAGGAAGTTTGCATTCATGAAGATTTTCTAGAGTGTTAATTATTGCTAGAGCAAATGATGTGAATCTTGCAAAGCAACTTAAGGTTCAAGTCATGAAGTAGAATCCAGATTGCTGAAGTTGATTTACTAGTTTGCAATGCTACTAACAGTAAGTTTATAGATTGTTAAAGATACTATGAGGATAGTAAAAAAATGTTTAACAACTAAGCATAGTATATGGATCTGTTTTTACTAGAATGGAACCTCTCAATTGAACCCCACCCAGAAAAAAAAATGAGGAACAAAAGGTTTACTCTGTCAGTCATTGTATATTTCAGGATTCTTTTGGAAAAAGTCAAGTTGAACCCCTTAATCCACATTTCAAAATAATAATAATTATCTTCCTTCTCCCTGTATTTCGTAACCTTTCTCATTTTCAGTCTAAATTAGTAAAAATAGATGGCAAGTGGTTCTTCTGATTTTGCTTCTCATCATAATCATAAATCAACTTTGTTGACAAAAGAATAGGAAAATGTTGATTTCAATGTTGCAATTGTCTCCTCAGTCTTACTGTATATGAATAATGGCATCCTCTTTGACGAAATTGCAAAAATGAAGATGTAATAAACAGCTTGAGTTCCTTTTCGAATATGCAAGTATAATTTCTTTGAAACCTCTGTTTACGAATTTGGTGCTTCATGGTCCAGGCGTTGTTCCCTTTGTTGACTACCTTTTTAAAGAGATATTGTACCTCATCTTATGCTCTAAAAAGACTCCTCACATTATGTGTGATGAAATCAGAGAAAACTCTTCCATAGCTGGAAAAGTCTTCTATACCCATGTCCATACATCAACTGATTTCTAAGGTGATTTTGTAGATGTTTCATGTCAATGCAGGCTATTTTGATTTGCTTTGCATCTTTCTCATACATAACTTTATTTTCCTTGATAAGCATTATTAATTGCATGAAAGCATGGATTTTATGTTTGATAATCATCGCAAACTTACGGGGTTCTTAATAGTTTGAAATCATCATTCTGTTTCTTATTATTTTATCCATATGATTTTTTCATATGTTTCTTCATGTAGTTGATTGTACCTAATATATTTATTATGTATTCCAGTTTTGTGGATCTTCCGAATATCTGTGCATCCATTTACAGTGTAGATCTCTGTAGTAGATTGCGTGCGTTTCTCGTTGCATGTCCTCCTACTGGCCCATCACCTCATGTAGCAGAACTTGTAATTGCAACTGCAGATTTTCAAAAGGATTTAACTGCCTGGAATATTTCGTAAGTTTATAACATGGTATGTTATATATTACCTTGTTACTTTTTTTAACTTCTTTTTTTTATTTGCCTAGTCCCATTAAAGGTGGTGTTGATGCAAAAGAACTATTCCACCTCTATATTACCTTATGGATTCAAGATAAGCGCCTCTCTCTGCTTGAAGCTTGCAAGCTAGATAAGGTATGATACTTCTTACTTTATGTGTGTATGTATTGCAAGAAATGGGTATGAGATGAGATGGCAGCTCATTTTGCTTCCAAGAGATATGCTAGTGGCGACCACTGAGACCTAACCCATCAATGGGTGGGTCTCACACCAGGATGGAAGTTGACTGATAATGGCCAAGTAGTTCGGCAGTTATTCATGTAAATATTCATTCAAAATTGTTTTGGAAAATCATCTAAGCAAAAGAATAATTTTGTTATCTACATACTAAAACGATCAATTATTAGCAATTACACACTTGATTCATTCTGCTTAGTAAATCTTCAATTAAATATCATCCCGTTGTAGTTTCTATCATTACACGTGACTTGATCCTCTTTTTTTCCATACAAGGATCTATGCTTATCTCGGAAGACTCAAGAATCTATATTCACTTTTTTAAATAAAATATTGAAATTATAGATACATACACTATCATTTTTAATTTCAATTGTAAATTTAAAAATGTTAGTAAAAGAATCAATTTTGTTAATCAAATGAAAGTATCACTTTAACCGAATAAAAATATTTTCTTAGGAAAAATATTCATATTCTTAAATTATAAAACATTAAACAACTCTATTTTAATATATGAAGAATATTTGATGCATATTTGTGTTCGGATTTGGTGTAACTCAGAAAACAAAAATAGGATTCACGTAGGCTATGTGGTCATCTGTAGTTGCATTTTGTAATGCTGATGAATTATGATAACCAATTTTCAGGTGAAGTGGTCAGGGGTTAGAACCCAGCATTTGACAACTCCATTTGTGGATGAGATGTATGATCGGCTCAAGGAGACTCTCAATGAGTATGAGGTTATAATTTGTCGTTGGCCAGAGTACACCTTCATTCTTGAAAATGTATGTAAAAACATTTGTTTTGTCAAATTTCTACTGCATTTTTTCCAGCTCTTCTTCTCTTTCATGAATGTAGGGCTTCAGATTTCTGGTACTTAACTTCGCTGTTTTGTTTGTTTTGTGGCCTTATATATAAAGGCCATTGCAGACATAGAGAAAGCGATTATTGAGGCTTTAGAGAGACAATACGATGATGTATTAGCTCCTCTAAAGGATAGCATGGCACCTAAGAAATTTGGCCTCAAATATGTGCAGAAGCTGGCGAAGCGTAATTCTGTCTGTCCTTATGTTGTGCCTGATGAGGTACGATTTTTGTGTAGCAATTTCATTGTACTTGTATAAATTCTACTTTGCCAATATTTGTTAACTTCTTTCTCTCCTATTAGCTCGGTATTCTTTTGAATACAATGAAAAGGCTGCTTGATGTATTGCGGCCCAAGATAGAAGCACAATTCAAATCTTGGGGGTATTATATGCCTGATGGTGGAAACAATGTTGCTGAGCACTTGGGTGAAGTTACTGTCACATTGAGAGCCAAGTTCAGAAACTACCTGCAAGCAGTTGTGGAAAAACTTGCAGAGAATGTAAGTATTATCTTCATATCGTTACGGCATGTCGTTTCTGCTCAGTGTATATTCATAGAAGAATAAGAATAGAAAGAAAACCTTGCGGTTATTCCATTTGAATGTATAATAACACAAGTTCCATTTGAATCGCTTTATAAATTCCAGACTCGAGCGCACAGTGCTACAAAGCTGAAGAAGATAATTCAAGATTCTAAGGATGTAGTGGTGGAGGCTGACATACGCAACAGGATGCAGCCCTTGAAAGAACAGCTCATTCAGGCAATAAATCACCTTCATACCATTTTTGAAGGTCATGTATTTATAGCACTATGCCGAGGTTTTTGGGATCGAATGGGGCAGGTATGTAACTAAATATTTGTATTTACTGTTTTTGTTTGTTTTGAGACAATTTATTCTCATTCATATAAGCCTGGCTTGTTAAAACAGGATGTACTTAATTTCTTAGAGAATCACAAAGAGAATAGATCATGGTATAAAGGTTCTCGAGTCACATTAGCTGTAAGTTTCCTGTCTGGATTTTGATTCCTTCCACTTGACCTCTTTGGATTTTGGATTTAATTCATTTTTTAATATTTTCTTAGGTTTTGAATGATACATTTGCATCGCAAATGCAACAGTTGCTTGGCAACTCTGTTCAACAGCGGGATTTGGAGCCTCCTAATTCTTGCAAGGAAGCCCGATCTGTGCTCTGCAAGGATGCACCAAGTCCCAAAGATTCGACATTTTACTACTGACTTCGGTACATGTGAGGATTTTTGTCCTTGGTTTTAAATCAATTTTGTGAAGTCCGAAGGGTTCTGCTGGCTCTTCAAGTAATTATCAGTTGCCCAGAAATGTACATCGTGGCCAGTCATCAGCATATTACAGGCCATAAGAGCATAAAGAAGGTCGATCTCATTTTAAAAGGCTAATTTGTATAGGTGAACAACAGAGTCTTGGGGTGGACCAAATGGGAAGAGAAACATGAATGCCAGAGGGAAGATCACACTGATGAAAGCAGGCAACCTAACAGTGAATATAACCGGGTTCTGTAAATACTTGAAGAGTATATCTCCACTATTTTGTGGCGATTGGTGCCAAAACTCACATTTTGGTCTCTGGTTTTGTTATCTGTATGAAACAGTTAACTTAGTTATGTCACTTAAAAAAGCCGATAATAGTTATGATAATTATATGTAGTTATGTTAGAAATGTATGTAGTCTTTATATTTTCTTCTGAGAATATTAGTGATGTTATTCATTTCTTGCAATAAAGTGGGAGAAATTACTGCAAACAGGTTTTGAAGTAACTTTAGTCAAGTAAATCTTAAGTTGAGTGAATTATGTATGCTTATTTTAATTCCCCCTTCTTATCGGTCCATCGGCATGTATGTATCCAAGGAAAATAGGACAAGAGAAAAAATAATAATAAAAGAAGAGTATAAGAAGTCTTCTTAGTGATGAACACGCCTCTTTTTGTTTAATTAGTCTTTATGGTAGAGGAACCTGTTTGGCAAGAAAAGTTAAGAGGAAAAGAACAGGTTGGCAATTGATTGAAGTTTATGAAGTTTACTTCATTAGACGTTCAATAGCTGGAATCAGAAGGAGAGAGGAGCTTGGTTGATTTCAATTGATGCGCTCTCTCTAGATTACGTCGGATTTGTTCCAAATTGCGATTTTACCTGAAGAGACGTAAAACAGTAAGAGAACAAAAGTATCTTCCATAATTGCATTGCATTCATTTTCGATTTCCAATCAGTGTATTAAAGATCGGAATTCTGATTCCAATCCCATATTATTATTGGAATCAAGCGTTGAAGTCGGGATTATTGTAGAACACTCCCATTCTAATTCTTGCATCGACTCCTCTTCTTAGATACACAAATTTATGCTACGCAATGAAATATTACCGAGGTTGCATCGGAGCCCCAAAAATTAATGCGTCACGTGCGTCGACCAACACCGGCTGAGTTCAGTACACCATCCGCAGATCAATGTTTTTGAGTAGTGCAAATTCAACACTGATGAGATAGTGTTATATATCTTTAGAGTCCTTTAAGCATGAGTACAAGGAGCTGAACCAATACCAGAGGTTTTGAAAGAATGAGGTGCTTAATTTGATCTCACTGTGACAAACAATTACAAACACATATGTACAAAGAGCTCAAAGCCTTTAATTACACTGCACAAATCCTACCGCTCAACGGGAGCTAAGTGGTAGTTTCTGAACATAGGAGCTCTTGCAGTATTTAGTGGCATCGGAAGACATCACAGTTTTGAGCATGAGCCCTTCCACCTCCACGTTGCAGGATTCAGGTATCGCATCAGCAAACAACAGCATGGTCTCAAAATAACTTTGATATGACACGGCAAGATGACCAAAAGGCCCCAGCGGCTGCCTTAAATATTGCTGGATTATGATACATTCTGCAAAAAAATAAGCGGAGGATAATAAATCACAATGAAAAAAATTTATAGAATCATAGTACTAACAGTGGGTGGTTGTCGCAAATATTCCTTTAGCACACTGACTCTTTTATACACGTTTATTGATATTGAATTCTGTATTAACCGTCAAATCTACCAAATTGTATGGAAAGTACATGCACTAACCCAATAGCAGTTGCACTCCAAGATGCGACATTGTAGATAACTATGCTTCCATCCCACGCCTTGCGTAGCTTACCCTTCCTCCCTTTGGCAGAGAATGTTTTGCTTAGTGCTGCTCACACCAAACGGAAATAATCGAAATGATTCCAAAATTATTACCCAATAACTAACATAAACTAGTTACAAATATAGTGTAGCCATTTCAAAGAAACATGAAAACTCACCTTCTTGTAGTTGATTGGGGGTCAGATCCTGCCAATAAAAAAAAGGCATTAGAATAGCACATGGACAAGCCGCTAGGTGCCTATCTTCTGAGTTTGAAAAGAGAACAGGAAACTAAGACAATTTAGAGACCTAAATTTCGCAGCTGGTTAAAAAGCAGAAGTAAAAAATGTTATCGCATGACAAGATACTCATCACAGAGACCAGACTGCTTGTTGTTTATGCACTCATAATTATCAACTCCTATTGCATAGCAACTAACCAGCATCCACCAAGAATGCATGAAAATCCCAAATATATGAACAAATAAAGGAAACAAATCAAGTATAAAACCAAATTTGATAAACAAAGACCTCAACATACTTTAGTTTCTTTCAGCGATGACAAATATGCAGCCATGAAGCACGCAATTGCCTCAACTATGTCTTCTTTGCTAACATGAACATAACCATCTGGATCCCCATCCATATTGTTATCTTCCCATAAATCTTGAGAACTGACAATGTCCCAAGATGCACGATCCTCCACTGCCACAAAAACTATCTCGCTTGAGAAACTAACGTAAACGAGGTAAATAAAAATTAATTCTCTAAAGAAGAAGCATTGAGGTAAAACAAAAATACATTACTGAACTCGTGATTTAAATTGATACATGAAATAATAGAAAATGGTAGTGTTTCTTTTGCATACGAGAGATATTTTGAGATGCTGACATGTGGATGCTCCCAAGCTTTTCAAGGAAGTCTTTTGACTGAACTTTAGACTTCAGCAATTCATGCAACTGGTCAAAAAGAGAACGAACTCAACTTTTAGTAAAGAACATTTGGGATACACTTCTATAATAACAATCCCACTATCAAGAATATAAAAAAAATGCATACATATACATGTAACCAAAAAAGATACTTAAGTATGTAATTTACCTTTATTCAACTATCTTTCATGTTTCCTAATGATTTATTTCCATCTATACTAGGGAGAAACAAATATCCGGTATTAACTAAGCAAAGCAGGCCAGAAATCTGATGCTAAGCATAACCTAGTAGAGTTTACATATTGCCATTTGCACCGACCTGAAAGGTACTAGTTGTGGATTGCTTCCTAACCAATTTATGTCACCATTGTCATGTGAAATAGGTATGAGATTTGCAATGAAATATCAAACCATCCCATGAGACCAGAAGGCTTCGTAACCATGATCAATTGAGAACCATCATGACTCAGCAATGATTTTGTACACATTGTTTGAGTCAAAAGTTGTCTTTTCCATTGTTTTCAAAACCTGTTACACCGTTTATCGATTACAAGTTCAAACTGAAAGAAAAGTTGATCTTTTTATAAGATCTTCTTACAACGAAAAAATAAAGATTACAACTTTATCAAACAAAACGCAGCAGTAGTTTATCTCCCGCTGCTTTGCGTGGGATCTTTGCCTGTGCCGGGGACGCGTTAGTCCGTGGACCACCGCAGATCAACCCGATAGAGAATATAATTACGCTCTTGTTTCACGAAGGAAACAATTGCGGAAGCGATAATCACGACCAAGCGAGATTGTGGCTCTTCTCGAGATTAAAACCAAGTTTAATCCGGAGGAAAGAAGGGGAAAGAATCACAAACCTTTCGAAGGGGCTTTCTTTATGAAAGTATTCGCTAAGCTCTGATGATTCTCCTCTGAAATTCGTGGTTAACTGGACAATTTGACAGCACCTCGCCTTCTCAATCTCAGATCCTCTTTAAAGAAGACCCTAGGCTTCTATTTATAGGCCTTTGGAGATGTCCTTTTGAATAAGAATTTGTGTTTAAACATCATCTGCAGTTTATAACTGTCTAAACGTGTTTAGGGATAACCTCAAAGCAGTTGGAGAGGTTCTGGGACGAAAGAATCCTTAAAAATCATCGAAATCCGTGTTTGGGGAGGTTTTGTGTTCAGCAAGAGTCCTGGTGGCTCGGAACTATGCGAGTCACCATTTGGTGGCTCGCATGGATGCGAGTCACCATTTGGTGGCTCGCATAAGTGTGAGCCATCATTTGGTGGCTCGCATAGATGCGAGTCACCATTTGGTGGCTCGCATGGATGCGAGTCACCATTTGGTGGCTCGCATAAGTGCGAGCCATCATTTGGTGGCTCGCATAGATGCGAGTCACCATTTGGTGGCTCGCATAGGTTTGTGATTCTTCTAATTCCCTTGTTTTGCGTATGCTTCATCGCTTCGCTGACTTGTGTACTCTATTGATCCATTTCATACACGATGTTGGATAAATTCCCTTGACTTGGATAATAACGTTTATCGTCCTTTCCTTGTCTTGAACTGTATTTAAGGACATGTGGGCAATTTTTATCCCCTACAGATACCCCCTCCAAAGTGTTTCAGTCTCGTTTCTTTTATAGAAGAGCCTAAAATACTTTGGATGTGATAGGCCCTATCTGCAGAAAGACCTGTAATGGGCTTCTTCTCTTGACTCCTTCATCCTTCAATCTATTCAGCGTTCTGTCGGATAGATGAAGTTTTTACGGTTCTGCGTTTATCGTCTGACCGCTGTCGAAGTCTTGAATTGAAACTAAATGGTGTCGTTGATTTGACGTTGAGCTGACTATTTTTGTTGGGAATTCATATTTGACGACGTCTTGACAGACATTGGTCAAAAGTTATGCGTTGAAGCGGAGAGAACCAGTTTACACTCGTATACTCTTAGGAGTTTAGCGGAGAAGCAGTTTATACTCGTATACTCTTCGGAGTGTAGCGGAGAAGCAGTTTATACTCGTATACTCTTCGGAGTGCGTTCTCATTCGACTCATTTCGGCGTTATGATGCCGGCATCGACCAAGGCTTGAATGTTGTTCTTAAGAGCAAAGCAAGCCTTGGTAGAATGAATGATCCTCCTATGGTACGCACAGTACTTTGGATCCGCAGTATTGTCAGCTTCCTCCTGATTTGTGATAGGTGGTAGCTTGATCTTGTTGTTTTCAAGGAGGTACTTGAAGATAGCCGGAACATCTTCAACCTTGAAGGAGTACTCTTTTTGGAGTCTCAGATCCGGAGTCTTTCGCTGCTTCTGAGGCTGCTGTTGTGACGTCTGATTAGAGTCAACAACCGCTGTAGGTACCTTTTCTTTACCATGAGAAGAAATACTTGAGTTTGGACGGTTAGCCGTCGGCTGGCTTCTCTCGGCCTTCTTCCTTCTGAGGAAGAGTTCGGCCTGTTCTCCGCGCACCTTCAGCTCTTTCCAAGTCTTGGATGGCACGACCCCCAGTGCTTCCAGGATGTCAATGGAAAGGTTATTATGGCAGGTTTGGAGGATGAATTCCTCCGTGATCGGACCTCGACAATTCATTGCTTTGTTGCGGAAGCGTTTAACAAAGCTATTAACTGACTCCCCATCCTTTTGCTTTTCGTCCAAAAGGGCTCCGATCGACACTTCGGTATCATCGTCGAAGAAATTGTTAAGGAACGAACTCTCCATGTCGTCCCAGCTGTTGATACGTCCAGGCTTGAGACGGCGGTACCAATCGAAGGCAGGCCCGCGAAGGGTGCCAACGAATGACCGGACCATCAAAGGCTCGTTGCCAGAGATCACTCCCAAGTGGGACTTGAAATAAATCAAGTGTTGAGTGGGGGAACCCTTCCCGTCGAACGGTGTGAAGTTGATCAGGTTGAACTTCGTTGGGTATGGAATTAAGTCCCACTCCCTCGGGTAAGGACACGGAATGCCGGTCTTCTTTACCTCTTGAGCAGACATCAAGGCATTGATTTTGCTTTCGAGGTCTTTCATCTTAAGGTCTTCGCATGCATCTTTCTTTGGGCGATTTTGGAAAAGGATAGCGGTGCCACCCCCAGTGTTGGTATTGTTAGTAGGGCCACCCCCAGTGTTAAGGACGTCTTCAGCATTTTTATCCTCAAGTGGAACATCGGCATTGATATTCTCCTCCACTTCTGAGTCGCTATCTATTTGATTGGTAGTTCGACGACTAGATTCACCGCGCTGATTTGTCAACTGCTGGAGTTGTTGAGCATGTAGATCTTTAACCCGTTGCACGGCCATCTCCATTTCGATTTTAAAGTCCTCTTTCTGCTTTGCCAAAGCTTCTTGAAAAAGTTGAGCCATCTGTTCAGTAGTGATCATGAATGACTCTCGAGTCTGTCCCATACTGGACACAGTGGCATCCGAAGCGATTGCAGAGTTAGCATCCGACGCCTCATCGTCTGAGGACTGTCCTCTCTGAATTCTGTTGTAATCTCTAGGCCTAATAGCCCCGGTTCGCAGCCGAGTCAATCGTTGGGATATTTGCGGAAAAGGTTCAGGACTGAAGCGTCGCGTGGATTTTCCTTTTTCTGCCATGTTAATCGTGAATTTTGAGAATTCACGTTTTTGAACGGCCGGCTTTCTTTTACGGAAACGTCTTGGTTTGTGTCTCACCATTTCTGTAGAAAGTCTGTCAAACACCGAAATCCTTTGCGAGGCGGTCTTGGAGCAGTTACACTTTGATAATACCGCCTTGATAAGTTTGGTACATGGACAAAAAGAATCCATTTCCCGGGTATTTCTCTTTCGAGCTCTATTCGTACCCCCAGCCTGATAGTACAACTCATCGGTCATATGACCGGAGCAACCTATCGCGTGTTGGCACGACTTTTTAGATGTAACGTTATCATCTGACCAACACGTTTCCTTCCGGAGATTTGCCGCCTCATTGGTGTTTTTAAGATCACGTGTTTGGAGGTACGCTTTTGGGAGCGCGAACTCTTGACGGGCTCTTGGACTTCAGTTCGTCGTCCGAGGCGATCAAGTGCAGGGGTTTTTTCATCATAGGCGGGCTCAGACTTGTTGCGAGGGTGTGTGCGACCCCGAGCTCGAGTGGTTGCTTGGGGTTCAGTCACCGGACCCAAGCATTCTTTGATCGGAACTTTGCCTCGACCCTTGTGCACAGGACCCAGGCGATTCGTCATTCTCATCTTGAAACGGGACAAGTCTCCGTGGTCGTGAGGCTTCATCGGAAGTGCGGAATTCATCGGGACAGAAATATAGGCTGCCGGAGGCTTAAACGGGACCGTGAGAGGTGAACCGGGTGCGAATCGACGCAAACCACCAATTGGTGGCTCGGCCTTGGCCGAGCCACCGTTTGGTGGCTCGGTTTGGGCCGAGCCACCAGACGGTGGTTCGCATATTTCGGCAGTTCCAGGCGCTGTTTGACTTTTTGTCGACGCTGTTTTGGACCTTGGTTTCCAGACTTGGTGTGGTTTTGATGGTTTCTTGATCACCTCTTTTCGTTTCAGCTTCTGCGCCTCTCGCACGAGAATTCGTGCGTGCGCAATCAAGGCACGACGCTTCTGAATGCGCTCCTCGAGAGTTGAGCGGGTCCGTTTGACTTAGATCCACTCATTCACTGTTGGTTTGGAGGAGAGACAATTTATTTGCTCCTGGGGCACTTGGTGCCTTCTGCGTTTCAGATCCGTCTCATAGCCAATCCCGTCAATAGGCTCCAAAACCTTAGCAAATCGGCGTGCAAGTCGTTGGCGCTGCCTTTGACATGCCCTCTTCGATAAAGTCGGCGCGGCTACAGCGGTTATCTCCTTGATTGAGGAGTCCAGATCTGTAGATCCGGCTTCGTTGGAGGCCGGAGGGGCTTTGCAAGGCGAGATTGCAATGACAACGCGGGCATTGATCTTCATGCGCTTGCGAGGTACGGAGGATCTGGAGGAGGAGGACGACAGATACTCCTCAAATTTTAGTTGGTCGAATTCGTACTCGACCTCTTCGTGAACCGGAATCCGGATTCGCGGTTGCGGCACGACAGCTTCGGCAGCGAAGCTGTTGGCTCCCACTGTGGTCGCCAGTTTGTTTGAGTCAAAAATTGTCTTTTCCATTGTTTTCAAAACCTGTTACACCGTTTATCGATTACAAGTTCAAACTGAAAGAAAAGTTGATCTTTTTATAAGATCTTCTTACAACGGAAAAATAAAGATTACAACTTTATCAAACAAAACGCAGCAGTAGTTTATCTCCCGCTGCTTTGTGTGGGATCTTTGCCTGTGCCGGGGACGCGTTAGTCCGTGGACCACCGCAGATCAACCCGATAGACAATATAATTACGCTATTGTTTCACGAAGAAAACAATTGCGGAAGCGATAATCACGACCAAGCGAGATTGTGGCTCTTCTCGAGATTAAAACCAAATTTAATCCGGAGGAAAGAAGGGGAAAGAATCACAAACCTTTCGAAGGGGCTTTCTTTATGAAAGTATTCGCTAAGCTCTGATGATTCTCCTCTGAAATTCGTGGTTAACTGGACAATTTGACACCACCTCGCCTTCTCAATCTCAGATCCTAGATGCCCTTGAAAGGAGACCATTGACTTCTATTTATAGACCTTTGGAGATGTCCTTTTGAATAAGAATTTGTGTTTAAACGTCCTCTGCAGTTTATAATTGTCTAAACGTGTTTAGGGATAACCTCAAAGCAGTTGGAGAGGTTCTGGGACGAAAGAACCCTTAAAAATCATCAAAATCCGTGTTTGGGGAGGTTTTGTGTTCAACAAGAGTCCTGGTGGCTCGGAACTGTGCGAGTCACCATTTGGTGGCTCGCATGGATGCGAGTCACCATTTGGTGGCTCGCATAAGTGCGAGCCATCATTTGGTGGCTCGCATAGGTGCGAGCCACCAATTGGTGACTCACGCCTACACGGGCCTCCAAGTGGTGTTTCGTTCGCTTTTTCGATACTTTGGCGATTTGTAACTCTTCCATTTTCCTTGTTTTGCGTAGGCTTCGTTGCTTCGCTGACTTGTGCATTCTACTGATCCATTTTATCCCCTTGCTGACGTTGGATAAATTCCCTTGACTTGGATAATAACGCTTATCGTCCTTTCCTTGTCTTGAACTGTATTTAAGGACTTGTGGGCAATTTTTATCCCCTACACACATAGGGTGTGACTATTATATTATAACAAAAGGTCAGCAAAATTTGCATGAAAAATACAGAAAAATTTATTGCAGAAGTTGAAGTTTCATTGCAACTGTCCATTTCCGTAAGTTGAGAAATAAATGATATGCCTTCTTTCATAATGAAAGATTATTATAGTACATTTCTCATCAAAAGAATTTACTAGATATTTGAATTTTGGATGTTCATAATTAAAGATTATCAACAATTTCGTAAGACATTTCTTATCAAAAGAATTTACTAGATATTTGGACTTTGGATGTTTATAATAATATGGGGACCTGTTGATATATATAACTGTGCGGCTTTCACAAGAGGTGTATACTTGCAACTCAAGTAACAGGTTCTTGCTTTTGGAAGAGGAGACTGATTAATCAATTTAGCTTAATGTACATAACAAAAGTTCAGCTAGGCTACTATTTGTTGTATCCAACATGTAGATAGTAGATAATATCCACCAAAATTTAAAATTTGGGTTTTGAATCTGAAAATTCAAACTGTTGGAAGTGATCACCCATCACCAATGAAGAAACAAAAATTCAAAGGATTTCAACATATTTTATCCATGTATGATATGTCGGTTAAATCAAATTCAAAATTTTTGCAAAGTTACTTAACTTTCCCCCCTTGATACATGATTCAAATCACTTCAAAACCCTTCGAAATTTAGTTTCTAGGTAGTTCATGTGTATTCACATCCAATGGATTGGATTTCAAAATTTGTAATCTGAAATTTGTATTAAAATTGATAGTATCCACATATTGGGTACTATTAATTAGTACACTATCTCAAGTCTCAACTCATATATTGAGCTAGGAAAATATTAATTGTATTCAACATGTAGATACTATCAACCTAAATTTAAAATGTGGATTCCGAATTTGAAAACTCAAACAATTGGATGTGATTTACTACATCAACTATACAGAAATAAAATTTCAAAGGCTTCAAACATGTTTTACCCATGTATCATATATTGTTAAAATCAATTTGAATTTTAAATTTTGGAATCCAAACATTAAGTTTGAATTGATAGTATCCAAATATTGGATACTATTAATAGTAGCCTATCTCAACTCCTATAACTATATAATTTTGCTATAATTATTATTTTTCTAGGATACTTCAAAGGTAACTTAAAAAGGTAAGAAAACAAGACTTAAAATGGTTTGGCAGCTGACACTAATATGTGACCAGGTATTAAGGATAGAACAAACGAAATGGATTTTCTTGAGATAAATAAAAACGTGGATATATGCACTTACGATGTATATGCAATAAAAAATGTGTTAATTGCTAATTTATCAAACCTAAATCACAATGGTTTAAATGAAAAAAAATGATACGACCAACAAAAAGTTGGGATAAATACTTCTTTGTTGTTGCTATAAGAATATACGGGATGGTTTGTATTATGTAGTGAAGACAAAGAAAGCTTCAAGAAAATGTAGATGTTAAAGAATAAATCATAAAGAAAGGACAATTAGCAAAATCTTCTAGTTTGAGTTTTATGCGATGTTTTCTCAGGTAATTATCTCATTTATGTACAGATAAAGAAGCAAAAACTTACATGAAGCAAGCTTATCTATGTTAAGTGATCTCTAATAGCATCATAGCCTTGCGATATCACAGATCTGTCTTTAAGTCGATGATTAACATGCATAGGATTATTGTTCATAAGCTCAGGATTACCCATGTAACTAAGCAACCATTTATATCTAATTGTTATTCAGTTTTCTGGCTCTAACACTGCCAGAGTATCCTGGAATTTCTAAGATTTCATTGCCATAGGCGTAGTTATTCAAATTGACTATCTTGTCCAATCCCACAGATTATAATTCTAATTGCTGTAGGCCTTACAGGAAATTACACTATATAAACAGAGTCTTTACCCAAAATTCCAGGGTCAGCTTCATGTACCCTACTCTTTCACTCAGTTATGTTGAGGGCTATCTCCTCCATTAAGTTAATCGTTATCACATATTTCTTAACAATTTCGAGCCAACTTCTCTTTGGCCTGCCTCTGGCCTTCTTTCTACATTAAATATAACTTTATGATTTTCAGTCATTCGTGCATTATAATGGTAGCTCCCTTGTACATGACTAAACCATTCCCAACAATCTCTCATTTGATCCTCAATAGGAGCCACTGACTTGCTAAAAATGCACTCGTTTCTTATCTCATCCCTTACTATATATGCACTCCTCGCTAGGAACAACCTTTTAACTGCCTACAAATACACGCATTTCTTATCTCGTCTCTCCACAGTATATCCACTCATGCAGCTAATATCTCATCTCTGCTATACTAAATATATAAGTACAAAAAACCAATAGTTATAATGCGAACAATTTCACTAAAATCTACTGTTTGCATCATCCAGGTTAGCAATATACAACCAGCAGCGGAATTACATCTCAAATAATCAAATTACACTATAATTTTATATAAAGTACAAAACTTCAGCCCAATTGCAAACCCTTGTATTGTCATAAAAGGGTACCGGTTAACTTTTCCACGCGCAATATAGTGACAGCTCCCTAATACCTCGAATTAAACTTCAATTTGACATAAAGAACATTACTTGAACCCAATTGAAACATCATCCCCAACAAAAGACTTCGATTTGACCACCAAGACAAGAAATTCACGTAACCATTTCAAAATAACTGCGCAAAGAAAAGAGATCTCTACCTCGTCAGCTTCGGGATCCTCCGGTGGCGGCGATTCGAAACCATCGCCGGCGTTTCCTCCCGTCGACTGGTCTTCGATCTCATCGGCGCTCTTTAGAAGTTCTAGGGTTTTCTGGCACTGTTCTAAGACTAATCTTATCGTTTTCCTCTGCAATTGCACTTGATCCTCCATCAAAGAGAAGAGAAATCCCTAGGGGATGAGAAGGAGTCGAAGAGGAGGAACAGGATTTTTTTTTTTTTAATTTTAATTTTTATGGAGAATGCAGGAATTTTGATCGAGTTAAAATGCGTCTTGGCTCCTTTTTGTTGCTTCCACGACGAAGAGGATGATCAATGATGGGAAGTTTCTTGGCACATGACCCGCACGTGCCTGGTGGAGTTGTCCATGAATTGTTGAAGTGTGCGAGGCACCAGAGGTTCTATTTTCTCTTTAAAAAAAAGGGTTTCTTAGATATTAATCCCTTAGGTACCGTTTGGCAAAGGTTTAAGTGAGGGGTTAAGGAAACTTAACCCTTTCTTAACCTGCCAAACACAATAAATCTATATAAGCGTTAAAGTGAGTTAACCCTTCATAATTTGCCAAACATAAAAAATATAGAAGGGTTAAGTTAACCCCTCTAGAGGGGTTAAGTTAACCCCTCTACAGGGGTTAAAATGAGTTAACCCCTCAAAATGAGGGGTTTACTAATACTCCTATTTAGATGGAATAAGAGTTAACCCTTCTAATTATAAAGAAAATAGTCAAAATCATTGTTATTCTCAAACACTAAAACTGATCATATGGGCTAAAATAAAACTTATTTAACGGGTTAATAATTTAGTCCTTCGGAATATCAAATGGGCTAAGTACATTAATCCTTCTCTTTAACCCATCTTCATTAACCCTTTGCCAAACGGGGCCTTACATTATAGGTACTTAGCTATTACTCCTTCGAATCTTCGTATGTTAATATTAATCCCTAAAATAGCATTAACACGTTTGATTTAGTCCCTTTGATAATTTCACCGTTTAGAAACATAAACTGTGGTTATTTTTACAGTCGGATTGGCTAAAGAACAACGTACGGGAGGGGGGTGATTCAACTAAACCTAAGGGGAGGAAAACGAAAAGGGAATGTGATGCAATTGATTGTGTTTAGATGAACAACTAGGGAATGGAGAGAGAGAGACGGAGCGATGAAGCTAATTGTTTTTGTTTAGAGCGATTGAACTAAACCCATGGGGAGGGAAATGAAAACAGAGTGTGATGCAATCGATCGTGCTTGGATAAACAACTAGGAAATGGAGAGGGATGTAGAGTAATGAAACTAATTGTACTTGTTTAGAATAAAAAATAGGAAGAGAATGGATCAATTCATTTAAAATCCACCCTCTCCCTTCTTAATACGTCTACTTTTAGGAGGGTTAAGAAAGGGAGAAAACCCGCTTCCTTTAACCCTTCTAATCTTCCCTCTCATTTACTAAAAAAAATGTAAACAAACACAATTTAGGATGGTTAGCATCGTAACCTTTCTAACTTCTCCCCTCCATATTTAAAAAAGCTATCCAAATACACCCATATAGGTGGTCGATTATCTAATACGCACACCCATTTAATTAGCCCGCTCGATCATTTATTTTATGGAAGGGGTTATCGTTTTTTATGAGTTAACTCCAATTTTATCATTGGGGGAAGAAGAAGGGTGAAATAGGTTTCTTAACAGGGTAAGGTTTAGTAAGTTGCGGGTTTAGGTTTTGTTAGATGAGGGACATAATTGTCCATTAATGCCCATGGTTACCGAAAATGAAATATTCCCTCACATTTACAACCCTGACTAACTACAAGAACTACTATCAAAATATAAATATATGAGGGACAAAATTCAAAATATAAACATGTGAGGGACTAGTACAAATTATGACTAGTATCTAAAACTCTAACAATAATTAACAAAAAAATTAGGCTTCGTTACACTATACTTCCCCCTACTCTGCACTTATATATCCTTGCTTGTTTTGGCAGAACTTATATTTTACTAAATTTAGGCTTAATTACACTGTAGTTTCCCTATTGTCAACTTATATATTCTCACTTATTTAGGCAGAACTTATACACTCTCAAGTTTAAAACTTACACATATATACTCAAACTTGTTTTATAGCACTCACATTCTCTGAATTTATAAGATTTGCATTTACATATACTAGGTTTTATGCACGTGCAATGCACGTGGTTAAATATCATGATTAAATATATTTGGTTTTTTTCCTTACTAAAACTTGTTACTCGGTTCTACTTTGATGGTTTTTGCTTACTTATATCTTTAAACTTTAGCATTGTAATTATTTAGTTTATTTAATATTTGTTTAAATGAATTACATCAAATTTAAAATTTCATATTGATAATTCAATTGACAAAAAATAAATGTAATCCGAAATCAATTTGAATTATCATGTCACTGAGACCGGCATGAAACCAAGCTTGACCTGAGGAAGTATAACATTGTAAAAGTGAAAAACACTTCAACAAATAGCGTTCTAAAAGGAAAATAAATAATTAAAGCTTATAAGACAAGATAGTTGGTTACAAGTGGGTTAAAATGTCACAAAAGATAATTTAGAGTTTGTTCCTAATCCTTAATAGACTTTAAAAAAATCATAAACTAAAAATTAATATTTAATCTAGTACACTTTTATATAATGAAAGTATCCACATAAGCATATAAAAGTACTAAAAAAGTTTATGAAAATCCCTTCTAAAGATTCTTAATTTACTCAAAAATAATTATTCTATAAATTATTCAGAAACTAGTGCATTTCATTCCTTCTGTTTTATTTTTTATTGAGACGTTATTAATCATTTTCCACATTTATCTTTTTCGATAAAATCAGACTAATTTTAGATGCCGAAAAAGATTAGTAAAACATTAAATTAAAAGTTAAATTTACATATCTTAATAAAAGAATATCAAACAACTACTTTTTTTCTAAGTTTTGATATTTTAGTCGCTTTTTCGTGATTTTAAATTTTTAAGGGTGTGTTTTGCAAACTTTGAAACTTTGAGAGTGTTTTTAAAAAAAAATAAATTTTAAGTTAGGTGCTTGTAATTTTTATGTTTCATGTGGTGGTAGTAAGTTTTTGAATGTCAGAATATTTCTTGCAACTCTGAATTTTGAGGGTATTTTTTGTAATTATTAAAACTTTGAATTGTTTGTTGCAAAATTAAAAATTTTAGCAGTCTGCTGATAATTTTGAGATTTGATATGTATTAGTTATAAGTTTTTAAATTTTAGGGTTTTCTGTCTTTTTTAATTTTCGAAAGAGTTTTTTATAATTTTTATAACTTTAAGTTTATTTTTTTACAAATTTTAATTTTTTAATGCCTAATGGTAATTCCTTGAATTCATCTTTGTTATTTGCAAGTTTTGAAATTTTAGATTTTCAGAGTGCTTTTTTATTATTTGAACTTTTGAGCGTGTTTTTATAGTTTTTAAAATATTAAGGGTTTCATGTTTGTTGTTTTAAGTTTTAAAACGTCTAGGCGTTTTGTGTAATTTTAAACTTTTAAGGGTATTTTTGTATAATTTTTAAAACTTTTTAGGTTTTTTGTAATACTTCATATATTATAGCATATTAATCTTTAAATTATTGACCTCCAAGTTGTTCACATGGGATAGGATAAGATATAATTATGATTATAACAGATTAAAATTTAAATAAAATATTAAAAATGGTTAAGGGTAATATTAATTGACCATGTAATATAATTATGATTATAACAGATTAAAATTTAAATGAAATATTAAAAATAGTCAAGGGTAATATTGACCATGTAATATAATTATGATTATAACAGATTAAAATTTAAATAAAAATAGTCAAGGGTAATATTGACTATGTAAAGTTTTTTCCGAACTCGTACTTTTAAAGGGAGTATGATATGCTATGATATGATTAAAGTTTTTAAAACTTGCATCTAAATACCATTTGTTATACAAACTTGAGGCTATTTAAATGCAAGTTTTAAATTTTTTAGGATATTTAATTGCAAGTTTAAAATCTTCAAACTATTTAAGAGCAAGTTTTAAAAAAAGGGGAAAATATGTCTGAGCCCCAAAAACAGAAACTTCATGTGCTATAGCCCTTCCTAGTTTCCCCCATGTGGTTCAGCCCCTTGAAGTGTGACATTTTGTGTTGCAGACTCTTTTAGCAACTATTACATGCTAGCTAAGCTTAAATCCCTAAAATATCCTTATCCCCTCCCTGAATCTCAGACCAAAACTTATATCCATCTTCTCCTCTCTCTCTCTCTCTCTTCTCTCTCTCTCTCTCTACTCTCTTCTCATTCCCTCTTCTCTATCTTTTTCTAAAATAAAGCGCTTTCTCAAGCTCGCTTGCCCTGCCCTGCCCCTCGCGTCACCGCCTCCGCCTGGCCCCGGAATCCCTCGGGTTCGCACCGTCGTCCCCTCCTCTCCCCCAACTCTCGTCGTAGCTCAACGTGTTACCCGCCTCGTCCTCGATACGTCGAAGTCCACCGCTACCGCTCTCCGCCTCGCCCTCGAGTTCACCGCCGCCTCCTCCTCGCCTGACCTTCGAGTTCAGCCTTCCCCCCACCCTTGAGTTCAACCTTAAGTTCAGCCTCCAAGGCTCCACTTTGAATTCGACCACCTCGATCTCATCGATTCTCTTCTCTTAAATAATTTAGAAGAAAAAAAACATCCACTGCAATTTATCTACCTCATCAAGAAGCTCAGTCCGTCCCTTTCCTGCTTCAACTGTAGCTAAAGCCTTCTCATGCCAACCATGTTGAAGTCCCTTTCCTGCTTCAACTGTAGCTAAAGCCTTCTCATGCCAACCATGTTGAAGAAGCCAAGAAATATAATCTTTAGCATCTCTAGAGAGAACAAATATGTTAAGATTTTTATCAAACAAAATATGTAGTTCTACAAGTTCCCCAGTCTGTGGACTATAATACAGTTAGAACTAACACACCAAAGGGGGATCTAAATCTTCATCTTTTAATTGAATCCGCGCTCATTTTCGTAAAATTCTGGCTCTTGTACGCATTGGCTATTGATGTATAAAAAAGCATGAGGATTTCTGAAGTGATCAAGGATGTGGAAGTGAACGAGAAGGCGTTAAATCTAGAACTAACACGCGGTGTGTTAGAACTAACACGCTGTGGGTTAGAACTAACACACTACGTGTTAGAACTATAACGAAAATAACATTGTAAACATACCTAAAAAACATCAAAACTAACATCAGAGCTCACAGAACTAACATTGGAGGTCACAGAACTAACATCATAGCTTACATAACTAAAATCATTTTACACATAGATGTAGTTCGAATCTGGAAAAACTCGAAATACCAAAGTTGTAGGTCTCTTCAACAGATTTTCAATGCATCTCAAATCACCTCATTCCAAGATCGGATGAGAAAGTTATCACCAAAATACAGATCATATGAATAATTTGAATTCGTAATTTGAATATATTATGATAAATGATAATAAATATGTGAGGTAAATTTGAATATATCATGATAAATAATAATAACTATGTGATAAGGTTATAAATAACATTTATTGATGTTTGAGTATGCTAGGAATTGATTTGGGATCAATTTAATATATATATGTGCCTGAATTTGGAAAAACTCAAAGACCAAAGTTATAGGTTTCTTCAACAGCTTTCCAACGCATCTCAAATCACCTCATTCTGAGATCGGGCGGAGAAATTACAACGAAAACAACATTGTAAATATAACATAGGAGCTCACAGAACTAACATGAGAGCTCACAAAACTAATATCATAGCTCACAGAACTAAAATTATTTTACACATAGATGTAGTTCGAATCTGAAAAACTCAAAAGACCAAAGTTGTAGGTCTCTTCAACAGATTTTCAACGCATTTCAAATCACCTCATTCCGAGATCGGATGAGAGAGTTATCATCAAAATACAGATCATATGAATAATTTGAATCCGTAATTTGAATACATCATGATAAATGATAATAAATATGTGAGGTAAATTTGAATATATCATGATAAATGATAATAACTATGTGATATGGTTATAAATAACATTTATCGATGTTTGAGTATGCTAGGAATTGATTTGGAATCAATTTATTATATATATATATATATATATATATAAAGCACAAAATTTGTGCTTGGTACCAAGCATACCCATATTTCTCATATATGTATATATATATATATGAGAAATATGGAGAAACTTGGTACCAAGTTTCTCCATTGAACTTGGTAGTGAGGTGGTCAAATCCCCACCCTACATCACGCCTCGAAGAGAGAGCCTCACCTACTTTTAAAAATAGGCTCCATCTTCGAGGCGTGATGTAGGGGGTGATTTGGCCACCTCACTATCAAGTTCAATGCAAGAACTTGGTACCAAGTTTCTCCATATTTCTCTCTCTCTCTCTCTCTCTCTATATATATATATATATATATATATGTGTGTGTGTGTGTGTGTGTGTGTGTGTGTGTGTGTGCGCGCGCGCGCGCGCGCGCCTGAATCTAGAAAAACTCAAAAGACCAAAGTTGTAGGTCTCTTCAACAGCTTTCCAACGTATCTCAAATCACCTCATTACGAGGTCGGACGGAGAAATTACAGCGAAAACAACATTGTAAATATAACATTGGAGCTCACAGAACTAACATGGGAGCTCACAGAACTAACATCATATCTCACAGAACTAACATGGGAGCTCATAGAACTAACATGAGAGATCACATAACTAACATCATAGCTCACAGAACTAATATTATTTTACACACAGATGTAGTTCGAATCTGAAAAAACTCAAAAGACCAAAGTTGTAGGTCTCTTCAACAGCTTTTCAACGCATCTCAAATCACCTCATTCCGAGACCGGATAAGAAAGTTATAACCAAAATACAGATCATATAAATAATTTGAATCTGTAATTTGAATATATCATGATAAATGATAATAAATATGTGAGGTAAATTTGAATATATCATGATAAATATAATAACTATATAATATGGTTATAAATAACATTTATCGATGTTTGAGTATGCTAGGAATTGATTTGGGATCAATTTAATATATATATGTGCCTGAATCTGGAAAAACTCAAAAGACCAAAGCTGTAGGTCTCTTCAACAGCTTTCCAACGCATCTTAAATCACCTCATTCTGAAATCGAATGGAGAAATTACAGCAAAAACAACATTGTAAACATACATAGGAAAACATCAGAACTAACATTAGAGTTCACAGAACTAACATGGGAGCTCACAGAACTAACACCATAGATCACAGAACTAAAATTATTTTACATACGGATATAGTTCGAATCTAAAAAAACTCAAAAGACCAAAGTTGTAGGTCTCTTCAACAGCTTTCCAACGCATGTCAAATCACCTCATTCCGAGGTCGGATGAGAAAGTTATAACCAAAATACAAATCATATGAATAATTACAGAGGTTCTAATAGGTATCAAAAACGGATGAGAAAGTTATAACCAAAATACAAATCATATGAATAATTACAGAGGTTCTAATAGGTATCAAAAACTACAACTGTTTGATTCAATTACAGACAAATCATATGAATAATTACAGAGGTTCTAATAGGTATCAAAAACTACAACTGTTTGATTCAATTACAGTCACAGAGGTTCTTTTACTCCTTAGACAAGGGTATGAGCATAAAAACAAACAAATGCAATAATCTCCTTTATCATTAATAGTTGACTTTCCCTTCCTCCATAAAAAAAATTGTTAACCATTCAAAACGAAGCTGAAGAAGCCTTCAACTCCTCTAACATCTTCTTCAGTGATGGTTGATTAAATACCATATTTCCAAATTCAATGCTTGAGTATTTCTTGTACACTGCTCTCAATTTACTCTCAGGTGCAGCTGAGTGAGACTTAAGCAAAATTTGAGAGCAATCCCTGCACAATGCAGCAAAATTGTATTAAGAAAAATTTATAGGACATAATTTGGACTTATACAAGTTGTTAAGAAAAATTTGCAGGATATAATTTGGACTCATAGAGTACTGCATCAGATCCAACTCAGCAAAAATTACAACATCCTCGATCATAGAGTACTGTATTAGCCCCAACACGGTGTGTTAGTTCTGACACGTGGCGTGTTAGTTCTAACATGCAGCGTGTTAGTTCTAACACATCGCGTGTTAGTTCTAGTTTTAACGCCTTCTCGCTCACTTTCACATCCTCGATCGCTCCAGAAATTCTCAAGGGAGGGGGGAAGGCTGAACTCAAGGGAGGGGGAAGGCTGAACTCGAAGGTGGGGCGGGGAGGAGGCGACAGTGAACTCGAGGGCGAGGCAGAGAGCGATAGCGGCGAACTCCGATGTAGTCGAGGGCGAGGCGGGGAGTGGCGGCAAGCTACGACGACAGTGTTGGCATGGAGGAGAGGAGGGGAGGCGGCGACAAACCGTGGCGGAGGCTTGGGGGCCTGGGCCGGCGACGGCGAGGAGGGCGAGGGCAGCGCGGCCCGACGAGCTTGAGAAAACCCTTAAGTTTTAGAGAGAGATAGGAGAGAGAGAGAGAGAGGAGAGGAAAGAGATCGACGGAGAGAGAGGGGCAGGATATTGAGTATGGGTTTGAGGGATTGAAGGGAGAGGATAATGATATTTTGGGGATTTAAGCTTAACTGACATGTAATAATTGCTAAAAAGAGGCTGCAACACAAAATGTCATACTTTAAGGGGCTGAACCATATGTGGGAAACTAGAAGGGACTGCAGCACATGAAGTTTCTGCTTTTGGGGTCCGGACACATTTTTCCCTTAAAAAAAAGTAGGGCACACAGGTGCCGGAAAAAACATGTGAGGATATACAGCTGCAACATAATTGAAACTATATGGTTTTTAAACAATTATCAAGCTTAAAATATACTAAAAAAAGTAACATACTTATTATTCAATCCTTAATGTACACGGTTTGTAGAAGGGACGAGCAACATTGATTTCCAAACATAGACATACGACGTACGTGCCTCGTAGTAATTCATCCAAATAGGGTTCTGAATCTCAACCCGACCGGACCATTTTAATTAATAAATAGGCTCGAAATAAAAACGTTTCAAATGAACAGGTTCAATCGGGTATCAACCCGAAACAAACCCCACCCGACCCGTTTCAACCCGATTTCTTAGTAGATTTAGGGCTCGATCGAAACCTTTCCTCCTCTCTCGATCCTCTCCTCGATCTCTCTCTCTCTCTCTTCTCTCTTCCCCCCCTCTCTCTCTCCGGAATCAAGATCAACACGCGATTTCACCTTATTCTATCCTCTATTTTCCTTAAAAATCTTGCAGGAGTGACCTTAAGAGGGCGGCCATGGCCTCTAAAGGCCCCAGGTCGAAGGTAGAGCACGAGTCAAGGTCACGGCGTCAAAAGGTAAAAGCTCTCAGTTGCATATTAAACTCGCTGTGCTCGGATTAGTGCATTTTAGCTCTCAGTTGTTGATTTTATTTGTTTATGGTAGGCTCTTGAAGCCCCCAGAGAGCCACCGAGGCCTAAGGCGCACTGGGATCACGTTCTCGAGGAAATGGTTTGGCTTTCAAAGGTACCGTACTTATTTATGAGACTTTAAGCTTGTAATGTGAAGAAAATGCAAGGAATTCTATGATTGGTTTGTTAAAAATTTGATTTTCTCCCCTTTTTGGGTGTAGGATTTTGAGTCCGAGCGAAAATGGAAGCTAGCTCAGGCAAAGAGGGTAGCTATAAGGGCCTCTAAAAGTTTTTCGGAGCATGCCACCAGAGGAGAAAAGAAAGTGAAGGTTTGATATCATTTTTCAGTTTTGAAAAAAAAAGATATGGATTATACAGGCAAATGTATTAAGTACTCATTGTGGATTGTAGGAAGAAGAGCAAAAGTTAAGAAAAGTGGCGCTTAATATTTCAAAAGATGTGAAAAAATTTTGGTTGAAAATAGAGAAACTGGTAAGTTGATTATGAATTTTTTGGTTTTTTAATTAATTTATGTGTGCAAAGTTTTATTATATTGTGATCTTAGGTTCTTTACAAGCACCAATTGGAGCTTGAGGAGAAAAAGAAAAAAGCTCTTGATAAACAGCTTGACTTTCTTTTGGGTCAGACTGAAAGGTCGATTGCGTCCCTTCTCTGAATTTGGGTTTACTTACTTGAGTAGTATTTTTCTCCTTCTGGTACACGGCTTCTTGAATTTTATGGCTTAATGGGCTTTGTTTTGTGCTTGCTTCAGGTATTCCACAATGCTAGCAGAAAATCTTGTAGATATTCCTACTGGTCTTAAACCACTGCAAATAGAATCTGGAGTGGAACGAGAAAATAAATCAGGCGGAGAAGAAGACAAAAAGTGTCTTATTGAAACATCTAAGAATTCATGTATGCAGTGGTTATTATTATTATTTGTTGCTAGTGCTACTTTTTTTTTTCTTCTTTTGTTACTTAGAGAAACTTTCCTGCAGTAGCCGAGTCAGATTCCATGGAGCTCGATGATGATTTTGGGATTAGATCTGAAGATGACGTGGTAAGTGCCCTATGGTACAAGATAGGTTATATCTACATGCAAAACCTCTAACTGAACCCTATGTGCATTTTCCTTAAAATCATTGTCACATTTGAACTGCTAGTTATGAACTAAGGTCATTGGTTCATATTCTGTCACAATAGATGAGATGATTTATCTTATTTTGTTAGCTATTAATTTTCTTCAGCGCAAATGCATGCTGTGTGGAGATGAAATTTGTGATTTAGTATCAGCTAACACTGCTTCTGTTAAAGATGATAAAAATAGTTTTGATCTATAATGGGTAGTTGAGTGGCTAACATAGATGATTGCCCCTGTCATGCCATGCACAATGCTGCATAGATACGATTTTGTTTTAATACCTGGCTGGGTGTACTTTCACAATGGTCTTTACCTTTTCCAATTAAAAAGGTTCCACGTGGCGCACAAGCCTCATGGGAAGGGTTTGATCAATTTGTTTTCACAAATTGGGTTCCTTCCATTTTCTCCCAATGGTGGGGAAAGTTCCAAACTTGTCTTGGTTGTACCATGCCTTGGAACTTGTGACCTCTTTACCATAAGGTACATGCATTTAACTTGAATTTGTGACCTCTTTGCCAAAATTGTCAGGTTGTATGTGTGAGTACAGAAACCAATTTTTGGTTTATTTTTTTAAATTGAAAGTATTAATACTGCAAATTTCTAAGAGTTGCTTCATTCATAAATATATCTACTTGGACCTTGGTGCTGAGGTTGACTATGATTAAATTTGAAAATCATTTAAATCTGGAACAGGTTATATAAAGTTTAGATGTTCACATAAGCATGCTAGTTTGTGCTCGTGTGGATGAGTGCTAAGTGGTGTGTCCATTTGTCTGAAAAGCGGATCTGTTTTCCTTCTCTCTTTAAATTAAAAATCATATCATTGTAATTAAGAGAAATTGTATGGCAATATAACATTGAGAAGGAAATATGGAGCTTTTTTGCTAAAGTTAAATTTATGTAATTTGAAAATCTATTCCTGGTGGAGATTTTGTGTTCTATAGGTTTAGGAACTTCGTAGTTTGGACGTCCCCTCAACTGAAAATCTTAGAACACATTATAGTCTTTTGATAGCTTTGCACATTATAGTTTTGAATACTTTAGCATATGCAGAACTTTCTTTTTGTTAGTAATGGCATGTATGGATCAATTTAGCCAAAATATTGCAGGCATGAAGGCTTTTATGTTTACATATCTCCTTCAGTGCTGACCGCACGTCACATGACTAAGATGGGTAATAGAGCCAAAATGTTGAAGGAAAAAAAGACTTGTATGTTTGCAGTGTCCTTCCGTGCTAACCGTATGCTTAGCTTCTACTTATTTCTTTCCTTCTATACTTGTACCATTGAGAATCTACATAGTTTACATCTTCTTCCAATGATCTTTATCTCTATTACATTTCCTGTTGTTTGATTGCAGGAAGACGATGAAAAAACTATTGAGGAGGATGAAATTCACATTACTGAGGATGAACGAAGAGAGGAATTAATAGCCTTGCAGGCTGAAGTTGATTTACCTCTGGAAGAGCTTCTCAATAACTACACTAAAGAGAAAGGTGAATCTCGCTTTGGGAGCTTAGCTAGCTTCAACATCATATGTACGGTTACTTTGTTTGGATCTTCTTTCTCTTAGTAGTGATCGATGTCAGTAATGTCAGTCAGCAGGGAAGTCAGTCCAGAAGGTGTTGAAGATGTTGCTGACCATGCAATAAAGAGGAATAATCAGATCAAGGGTGAGCTATTACTAAGTGCTAACTTGGGTGCTTTGAAAACCAGTTTTTCTTTCTTCTCTCACTGTTTATATTTATAAAGCTTATCTTCTATGTGATATTGCAGGTTCCGTGAACCAGGTAAATGGCTGTAACTATGTCATGAAATCTTCAAAGTTTTCGCCTCTTGCAAATAATAGAGGATGTTACCCTTTTTGTTATTATCAAAGTAACATTTTTTTGAGTGAACTATTAGAAGTAACTCTTCATACAATGGTTCCACTGAGCTCCACCATAAGTCAATCACTTTCTCTTTCACCTACAATCAGATAGTTTTTATAATGGCTGTAGTGTTCTATCAGCAGGGGGACAACAATCATGTAGGGCCCTACTTGGAAGGCCACTTTGGTGTTCAGACACGAAGATCTAAACTTGCTGAAAAAGATTCTAACACATTATTGAAGGGATCTGTGCTAACTGGAGCTGGTGATGATCCGGTAAGAGTGGCTGTTGATAAATTTGATTTGTAATACCAACATTACGTAGCCATGTTTCTTCCAGAATAGTTGTCACTAGTTTGATGAACTTCCAGAATATTTGCAATACCAACATTACTTAACCTCTTTGTTTGCTTTAGCCTCCAACGAAGTTGATCCAAATTTGCCAGGTTGGGAGTTCATCACATCTGCTTTTTGCATTAAGCTACTGGTAATATAATCCTCAAAACTACAAGGGAATTAGTATATGACATCTTGAGGAAACATGTAGCTGAAATGAGAATTTAAGATTAATGAATAATAAGGTGCTAAAAGATAGGATAAGGGTGAATACATTTATCAGAAGTAGCTTTTAGGAGAATTGAAGGAGAGGGAAAGCCCGTTGGGATAGTTTAGCCATATTCAATGGAGATCACACCAAGCTGAAGGATCCATATGATTGCGGTTAATCTAGCAAAATCATTGTTAATGGAGTAGCAAGGACTAGTCATGTTCCATGGAGATGTGGAAGTGGACTAGTAAGGGGAAGCTATCAGATTGTGGTTAATTTTGCAAGTTGCAACACTATAGTTGATGGGGTAATAAGGAATAGGAACATCCCTACATGAACATGGCTTGAGACAGTAAAAAAGGAAATTGATAGTTACCAATTTAACGAACAAAATTTCCTCTTAACAAAATTGACTTTGAGTACTTGGGGTAAGGCTTAGCCATTGTTATTTCTGAAAAGTGGGTTCTCCATTTAGGACGTGCCTAAGTCTAGTATACTTGTTGGACAACTTAATTGATTACCTGACATTGTAAAATTGATTGGAATCCTAACCCTTTCTGGTTCTGATGTAAAAGCTTCAAATTATATCAAAAGTTTCATTTTGGCTTTGTGCAAATATTGGCCTGAAATAGTTTATAGAAGTCATGACAAAAAGTTCCATTACAATATGAAATATCTTTTTATTTTCAACTAAAACTATAGCTTACGAAAATTATGATGTCTGTTTAAGCATGCTTCTTCTATTTTGAATATTGTGCACTCATAATACTTGTTTAGAAATTAATAAAATTTTACATACATTATTAGCGGAGAAATGTTATTATACCTATAATATGTCATTTCTATGCTTATAAAAGATCTTCTTACAGGATGACAGAGACTATGTCCTTATTGGTGAAGAAAAGGTATTTTCTGTCCAATCTAATCTATTTTTATTTACATAACTCCTACGGTAGTCAGTTGGTTTACTTAATTTGCCCCTGCTTGTTATAAGATATTCTATATATGATATATCATAGACTAAGGGCATAGTCATGCTGGTTTGCATAGACACTTAAATTATAGCTTCCATATAACTCATATCCCTAGCTCTATTAATAGCATTCAATATCACTGTAGGTAGTCTGAACGTACAGGCTGTATTCTCTGTGGATCACACACTATTTCTGATTAGTTCTTTTGACCCTTGTTTTAATGCTTCAGTAGTTTTCCTAATAACATTGCCCTCGATTTCTAAGTACAACCCGGTGTATTCAGAATGTCTAGAAACATCAATGAGGTACACAACTGAATATCATGTCTTTCTGGTACTTTGCTCATGTTTCACGAGGGTGCATTTAGTTCAAGAAGCTCAAAAAATCCGGATAGGTTTAGCTGATCTTTGAATTTGGTTTCTCATTTATAATGTGATCAATTAACAATGTTCAGAAAAGCAATTTCACTATGCATTAGATCCTTGAGTGTATATTGCATACATGTATCCTGTGTTTGTTAAACTGATTACATAGAATTACGCAGATCGTGCAATAGTTAAACAAGTTTCAAATCCAAGCTTCCAAATTTCAAGTGGCGAATTTCACTTCCAGTTAAAAAATTTCACAGTTGATAATTCCAGTTTAAGTTATTTACTGAAAAACATTTACATATGAAAAAGTATTAGTAGCTTACACTTGCTCACTGTTTTCTGAAGAGCAAACAATAATGAATCACCAAGTCAAAAGGAACAAGAAGAAGACAAACATAGAGGAGATGACAAAGGGAAAAGAAGAGAAGAGAAGGAAATACAAGAAATCTTTATGATTAGTGAATTAGGGGAAAAAGCTTTCTCAACTTGATTCCAGCTACTTGAGTTCCTACCCAACCCTTCTTATTGCCTGAGAGAGAAGAATGATAACGAGAGGCTATGATACCCGACATGGCAATTTTGGCATCGTACCCTTGTCGGGTGCGGTTTGGGTACGTTTCCCGGGTGTGGTTTGGGTACGTTTCCGCACCCAAACGGAGGGGACACGAGAGCAATTCATTTCCCACGTGCGAGAGGACTTTGGACCAGTTACATTTGAGGAAAATGAGTTTAGCTGAGATATGCAAGGAAGAAGAAGACTCTCTCTTATTTTCTTAGTTTTAAATTTGTTAGTGGAACATGACATCACCATTCACATGGGTGCTTGACTATTTGCTTTTGTCTTTTCTTTAAAATTAATGGCAATGCTAAGAATGGGAGACATGTGTTCTCATATTTAAATAGGTAAGTGTGTGTGTGTGTGTGTGTATATATATATATATATTTATTTATTCTTTTTTGGAATATAAAGTCAAAGTTTCAAATGAGTTTACTTTATAATTTTAAGGAATGAGCTTATTTTATTGAGAATTTGAAATTAAACATAGTAAAATTGCTATAGTTAATATAATTGTTAATTGCTTGCATGTAATGAAGAGTTAAAGATGGAAGTTGGAAAGTTACAAAGCCTTTCACATGCTGAATTGTTGATTAAACTTTTATTTTTTTTTATTGTCGTATCCTCGTACCCGTGTCGAAATTTAGGACGGTGTCCCCGTATCCAAAATTTTTAGAAATTTCGTATCGGACACTCGGATCCGCACCCGTATCGGATACTCATACCCGAGTCCAGGTAACGTAGGTGTAGACACAAACCTCCGCAGGCGACGACTCGAGCGGGTGAGGTGAGCTCCGGTGAGCGACCGTGGGCAATGCAGTCTAGGCGAGATCTGTCAGGTAGCTCAGGCGAGGTCGATGACGAGGCTAGGCGAGTTCGTTGCGGTCGAGCTCCAGGCGGGCGTCGGCTTCAGGCGAGGTCGTGAACACGTAGGCGAGCTCGAGCGACATCAGGCAAGGTCGAGGCTCTGTAGGCGAGCTCGAATTGTACTGCAGGCGAGCTCGACGGTGCATGCGGGCTTCGGGCGAGTAACGACATCAAGCGAGCTCCGTGACAGGCTGTTGGCAGCATGTCTCCAGCTGGAGCTAGGGTTTCCCTATAAAAGAGAAACCCAGAGCTCAAACCCCGTTTGCTTCTTCTCGTGCTTAGATCCAACAGTGGCGGCTTCTCTCTCTCTTCTTCACGCGTTCTCTCTTTCCAGCGGCGGCTTTGTTTTTTCTCCAGCTCTCAATTGTGTTTTGAGGGAAGGAATTAAAGAGGAAATTAAAAAGAGAGAAATTATGGGGGGGGTGGCTCTTGATTCTTATCTCCAGCACACAGTGAATTAAAGATGGGAGATTTAAGAGGGATTCTTTTTCCCACATCTCAGTTTGAGGGGGAATTAAAAAAGAGAATTAACAATGTAACTACAATGTTGTTTTGTATTTTGAGAGATCTCAAGTTTGAGATCCGTTCTTGTATTGTAATTTCTTGTTGATTAATAAGAAATTAATTGTGTGACTCCCGAGGACGTAGGCAGTTGCCAAACCTCGTAAATCTTGGTGTACTTTTCTCTATATTACGTTTCTGCTGTTTTAGGGGTTTAGCTTTAGCGTAGCCCCGGGTATTCCCGAACACTTGGTATATTAGAGTATTTGAGCAAGTCATGAAAGGCTGCAGCTTTTACCATAGCATGGCAAATTATTGTGTTGATGTCATATGAATAGCTGCAGCTTTTACCGATTAACTTAGAGAATCTTGTCTGTCTGGAATTTGCAATTATATATATATATATATATATATGAGCCGTGTCCCTGTACCCTATTTTTTACAAATTTGCCGTGTCCCGTACCTGTATTCGTGTCCATACCCGTACCTATGCAACCTAGACGAGAGGGATTGGATCCAAAAAAGATTAAAAATATGTTGTATGAGAGCTAGATATATATATATATATATATATATGAGCCGTGTCCCTGTACCCTATTTTTTACAAATTTGCCGTGTCCCGTACCTGTATTCGTGTCCATACCCGTACCTATGCAACCTAGACGAGAGGGATTGGATCCAAAAAAGATTAAAAATATGTTGTATGAGAGCTAGAAACATGTTGGTTGGTATGCTGCCTAATGTCACCATCAGTTTATTTTGTTGCATTCATGCATTTTTTCCCATTTGATTGTTTCTATCAATGAAGCCACACGATCAATAGGTCCTAAGAGAGGGGGAGGGGGATGATTGAATGCAATAGAGAGATGGAGAGGGATGGAGGGGCGACAATTGTAATGTTAATAAAAAATTCTTTATGAAACCTATTATATAGACCTATTAATCCCAAGTATTGGTATGACTAAGATCAAAGTGTGCAGAGCCCACTCATAATAGGTTCATGGTACATCTTATAATTTTTTAGGAATTAATTCAAAGTTTTATAAGATTTTTCAAGTCATTTTGAACCTTGTAGCTTCTCCATATCCCCTTGGATTCAAACCTCTTGTGCCTCTTCTCTTATTCTCTCCCCCCTTTCCCTTTATTTTTTATTCATCTGAGAAGAGCGAAGAGAGGGGCCGAATGAGTTTGGCGTCCTTTTTATATAGCCATCCTAAGGCGAAGAGGCAAGGGACAATTGTCTCTCGCGACTTTCTATGTAATCCAACGGGAATCAAGCCAAGAGTTTATTAATGAGGTCAACCATTATATGTTGATTTTTCTGGGTAAAATTACTTCGCAGTTTACATGACACTCATATTTGCATGCCAAGTCCAAGCCAGCTCAATTACTATATAGTTAATTGGTTTTTTCACAGAAGCCACCTTTAAAATATGGTGATCATATGCAAACCATCTTTAAAGTCTAGCTAGTATAGAGATCATCTTAAAAAGGGTTCTGGTAACAATCAACCATCTAACCTATTTTTGGTAGAATTTATATTGAAATCCCCAAAATCCCTTAAAAACACACCAGAAAATAGGCTAACTTTGGTTAATAAGGAATATCACGCGCCTGATGGCCCTGACATGTGCGTTTTTAAGGTATCTTGGGGATTTCAATTGAAACTTCACTAAATAATAGGGCAATTGTTGTTAGAATTCTTTTTGAAGACGGTTTCTATATCAATTGAACTTTAAAGGTTGTTATTATATTCTATCCTTATTTCAAAGGTAGTTTATGTGAAAAACCCTTAATTAATTTTAAAACTTGGTTAACAATGTAATCAATAATTTGTGTTATTACAACTCCTAACTAATAAAAAGTTCGTCCTCTAAACATGGTAATACCTCTGTTCTTGAAGAACTCTAGATACGTATCGTGTATATAATATTCTAGATCTCATGTGTCTTCTCTTACAAATGATTTATTAGTGTACTTTCACAGATTCGATAGTTTGATGCCTTAGTGCTTCCTCTTCTCCAATCATGATGCATTTTGAGTTCTCTTTATAAGTCTAACAATATGGCTTAAGCTCCAATAGGGCCAACTAAAAGACTTTCTTTGAATCTCAAACGAATTTCCTAGCATTGGTACATAAAATAGATAATCCTTATGAAGCCTAGTGATAAATTTATATTTACCACAATGCATTGTGAAACATTTGCTGTGTTTAGTAATGCCTCTAAATGGTGCTAGGGTGAGTACTCATGCAAAGTGACAAGGTTGTAGCATATCTGTCACACCTTGATCCCGCAAGCCCATTGACTTGATATAAGTCCTGAGATCCACTGAGTGCAACACATGGTTTAGCTCAATTTACTGCCGGAATTAACAAGTTAATTTTGCACTTGATTCTCAAGACCAATTATTTAAACCCTCTCAAACTCAATTAATTTTCCGATGTGGGACTATTATTGAGGGTAATACAATCACCCCACCTGTGATGTCCTCATCGTGACATTACAGTAGCCCATCTTAGGATCATCGCCAGCTGTCAGGTGAGGTGGACCTTAGAGGTGGCTCCTACGGGTTCTGGAGGTGGCTCTCACCACACTCATGAGATGTAGTTCTTTCTCGCATAACAGGGGATGTTCTTCTAGATAACTGAACCTTACAAACAGAATGATTTGAAGTTGGCAGTTGTAGTCTTTGCTCTCAAGATTTGGAGTCAATTGTCTTTATGGAGCACGCGAGATGTACACTTACCACAAGAGTTTAAAGTTTATCTTCACTCAAAAGGCCTTGAATTTGAAGCAAAGAAAATTGTTGAAACTTCTCAAAGATTATGGTTGACCTTCAGTATCATCTAGGCTAGACAATATGGTTAACAATGCATTGCGTGGTAAATTTAGCCCGTCTTGTTACATACAAAGGGAGAATGTTAGAAGACATGTATAGTATGTGGATTGAAATTTTGTTCTACCAGGTCATGACTAAATTGGCGAATATCTTAGTGCAATCTTTGTTAGATACTGGGCAGAATGACATTCAACTGTAGAAACAAGAAGGGTGTGGAAGGAAGCACTCAACCAAGGGTTAAAATAATGAAGATTGACTCTTGAGGTTTGAAACTCGAGTTTGACCAGATGTCCTGGTGGTGAAGCTTACAGAGGAAGCATCATTCTATATCTATACCATGCATCCCAGCGAGATGAAAATGTACAAGCACTTGAACAAAGTCTGTCGATGGATAGTATGAAGAGGGAGATTTCAAAGTATATTGTTGAGTGTTTGACATGTCAGCAAATGTTAATGGGACATCAGAGTCAGCAAATGTCAATGGAACATCAGAGACCAGTTGGGTTGATCGGTAATTTTGGTATATGAATATGGAAATCGGAGAAGGTCATGCATTTGTTGATCTGATCTTTGAGAGCTAATGATGCTGTATGAGTGATAATCGACCACTTAAAAAAAGGAAAAAAAAGAGAGAATCGACTGTATCGATTGAGTTGGACACATTTCTTGGCTATGAACATGACATTTTGTCTAGAGAAGTTGACACAATCATACATCGAGTAGATAGAGAAATTAGATGGCATACCTGTATCAATAGCGTCTGACAGAGTTCCAAAGTTCACATTCAAATATTGGAAGAGTTCCAAAGTTCACATTAAAATATTGGAAAATCGCCTGTTTGCCTTATTACATGGGGGTATGTGCATTTTCAGGCCACATAGCCACACATTTCTGAGCCACACTGCAGCTAACCAATTGTGAATCATGATCAATGATTATTAACTGTCAATTCGATAACAAGTATTAGTGCATGAACTTTAATATGCATTATATCTTTAATAAGGCTTTTAGAGCACTTGTTCATCAGTAGTGAACCGTCCAATGTGCCAGAGTCTGGAGTTAAGATTCTCATTCTGCTTGAGATATGGCTATGTCCTTTCCAAGAAAAGGTTTAAGCTTATATATTGTATTCTATTCCTATATTGAGGATGCTAATTTTGTCACATGTAAATTTGGTTAACTTGGCACCTGCTGATTGATTAAAGACATAAGGTAAAGTGGTTATTGTTCAATATAGTATTTCTTGCTCTACCTTTTCCATGTTGCTTCTGTATAATTTTTAACTTGATTTACTTCATGCAATCGGAGACAGCAATCATCATAAACATTTTTATCTGAAATTTGTAAACCATTTTGAAAATCAGGTTTGTTTTTGGACCTTTTCATTTGCTTATGCACTCTGATGCTAGGGCTGATTCACTGCCACATATCAAGTTTATCATTTCCACCATCATTTGAAAGTGTCCAGTCTATGATGCTTCTGTTTTGTTGCTGGTACAATGAGCTTGATGTACATGAGCAGTTAGAACCATCCTTTTAGATTTATGGTGTACCTGTGTGTGTGATATATCATGTGGTAAGTGCGTATTATATTCATTAGACGGTACCCTAATTTTCTGGTTAGCGTAGGACCTCATTTTCTGGAAGTATTTTTTGAGGCAAGTTTATGCCTCTGTATGGAATTTGAGTGGTCCATTTTGTCAAAACCTTGCCATTTTAATAGGCATTTCATTTTTTTTATCTTTCATGGACGGTTTCTTGTGAATCTCTGTAGGCAACTCACTTACGATTAGCTGCTTTAATAATGTAGTTTACTTCACAATTTAAAAGTTGCTTCCCATTTGCTGATTTGCTAATGTACTATAGTTTGCAAGCTGTAGCTGGTATGGCTCTGAAACGTTGCGGGCTTTTCATTTCTTACTGTTATTAACTTAATTATTCATCTACATGATAATTTTGTGGGGATTTGTGATTCCTGTTGTAATTCTGTAACAACCCCAACTCTCCTGTCTGATTTTTCATCTTGCTGATTTAGTCATTGCATTGATTACTGAAAATATATATTTTAATTAAATAATTTATAGGATGATGAGGAAACACTTTCTGAAGAGGAAGAGTTGGCTAAGGGAGAATCAGATGACCCTCTGGATGAGGTAAAGGGTTTAAAATTGCATGATTTTTGATCAAGTTGGCCAGTACTTCTTATTTTCTTGATGATTAAACCTTCCTGTGTTTATTTCAAATTCATGGCAGTGGAGAAATTTTCTTTTGATTGATTTAGGAAGCTATTGTATTTATTAATGCCCTGAAATGCAACATGTAGTTGGTTCCTTCTGCAGAAGTTTCTCCTAGAGGCCTCCAATTAGGCAGCATGTGAACAATAATTTACTTTCTAATTACTTCATTTTGTCATTTATTTCACCGCAATCCCTGCTTTCAGCCTCATATAGTCCTTTATTTATTTAAGTGTATTCAAGGGTTTATAGTGGAAAACTACTCTCTTCATCCTCAAGAGTCGAATGTACTTCTCTATAGCAAACCTTTGTCATCCCCGGCAGCAAGACTTCAGGACCTTTTTAACCTAAATAAAGTTTGGTGGACTGATTTTGTTTACAGTGAGTTTTAATTGTATGGCCAATAAGGTAGATTGCTAGCAACACATCTCCACCAAGCATTATTTATCATATCTGAACAACTTACTTAATAGTTATAAATCTCCTTGACTTAAAAGTCTAAAGTGATATATTATCTTCTTAATAGTGGGGCCTTCAGCGTCACATTCTCGGTAGACATTGCAAGTCACTAAGTGCTTTGATACACAACTCTATATAGTGATAAAGTTCCAGAATGTTTAGGATCTAACTATGCCCGCACGTGACCATATTTACGAAGATGCTCTTTGCTGAACAGATTTTCTCAAAAGTGAGCTTGAAGGACTGTAAACGTAGCCCAAAGATGTTGGATACAGGATACCGCCTCCTGAGATGCTTTACATTCTGATTTTTTGTCGATTACAAGTTATCAACACTGATTACCTCTTGTCTTTTCTTGAGTGGATCCACAATATTGCTTATATTTAGTCTGATCCTCAGTTATTGGGGCTCGTAAGATATGGGACTTTTCTGAGATCATTGGCAAGGAGAAGTCTAAGGACAGTCATGGATCTAGCTATCCTTGGACACTCGCAGAGAATTAAACAGAGATGGGTTGGGTTAGGTAAGGGTTTTGGATTGGGATTATAGTTAGGGACACGCCCCCCTCCCCAAAACAACCCCCCAACCCCTCCTGGGCGAATATGGTGAGTGAGAGCGAGTGACGCATTTGGCGAGTGTTGATAAAAGTTCTGCATTGGCAACACATAAGCTCTTGGATCTTATGTTCTGTTTACAAGATCCAAAATCCCGTGTACTTTTCCTGCATATGTTCCATCTTGTCTTTCTCTACTTTTGGAGGCTTCATTTAGTCTCCATTTTCTTAGATGATTCTGGCCACTTATGTGATGATTCCACTATTAATCGTTGGGTTTTGAATATAAATTATTAGAGCAACCTTTTACGTCAGATTTTGAGTTTCTCTGTAATAATTGGTCTGTGCAGAGTATACATGTGTCTGCTTGCTGGTCTGCATATATTCAGATTTGACATCTTTTTTGTACCTATTGACAAAGGCTTCTGTTAATTCTTCATCTTTAAGAGAATTCTGCATAAAGTGTTATGATTTTATGCCAGATCGAGAAGTTTCCATCATGATTTTTGTTTTGTTAAGAGTATAAAATTATGACCCTCAAGCAACTTCAGAGGTTTGGCATAGTGGTAGGAATCTTTGACATGATATTAGAGCAGCCCAGGTTCATATCTTAGCGGCCACAAATTTCTAAAGTGGATTAAAAAAAAAAATTATACCACTCTGTGAGTCTAGGTTTTGTCTCATATAAAAGAGCCCTCAACTTGGGTCCCTCAACTTGGGTGTATGTTGGAGTATAATTATAACCCTCAACCCTCACCATAACTTCAAAGTATTTGTCTAGTGCCAAGTACCTTTGACTATTTCCTTACACAGTTAGACATCTTCTGCCATGAAATAGATGCAGGCCTAACCATCATTATCCTTTTTCCTCTTATCTCTTCATTCCATTATGTTTTAGAGTTGTTAAACCTGTGTCCTAAAACGACTTTCTTTGTGCAGATTGGTTTATTGCAGAAAGAGAGTGAAATGCCTGTCGAAGAGCTGCTTGCAAGGTATAGAAAGGTATGGGACCTCTCTTTTTGTGTATTCCCCTTTCCTCTTTTATCCTGTATTATCATTATTAACAGTCTACCCATGTAGGAAGACTGCGCTGATAGCACTGCAGAATTAGATTCTGCTTCCTCAGATTCTGATGATGAGAAGGATTCTGCTGCACATCATAATGTTCAATTAGCAGATCCAGACCTCCCCACGGATGCATCATCCAAACAGGATGTATCTAGTGATCTCAAGGATATGGATATTGATATGCAAGTAGTGGATAATCATAATGAAATTTCAGATAAAAAGGGGAGTGAAGACATAATTGCTGATGCAGCGGCAGCTGCAAGGTCAGCTCAACCAACTGGGAACACTTTCTCAACTACCAAAGTCCGAACAAAATTCCCTTTTCTCCTAAAGCATTCTCTTCGAGAATACCAGCATATTGGTTTGGATTGGTTAGTAACAATGTATGAGAAAAGGCTGAATGGAATTCTTGCTGATGAAATGGGTTTGGGGAAGACGATCATGACAATTTCTCTTCTAGCTCACCTTGCATGTGAAAAGGGTATATGGGGACCTCATCTGATAGTAGTACCCACTAGTGTGATGCTTAACTGGGAAACTGAATTCCTTAAATGGTGTCCTGCTTTCAAAATATTGACATACTTTGGAAGTGCAAAAGAAAGGAAGCATAAACGCCAGGGTTGGATGAAACCCAACTCCTTCCACATATGTATCACAACTTATCGACTTGTTATACAGGATTCAAAGATTTTTAAGCGCAAGAAGTGGAAATATCTTATTTTGGATGAAGCTCATCTAATAAAGAACTGGAAATCCCAAAGATGGCAAACACTATTAAATTTTAATTCAAAGCGGCGGATTTTATTGACTGGGACTCCTTTGCAGAATGATCTCATGGAACTCTGGTCGTTGATGCATTTCTTAATGCCTCATATCTTTCAGTCTCATCAGGAATTCAAAGATTGGTTCTGCAATCCAATCGCCGGAATGGTTGAGGGACAGGATACTGTAAACAAAGAAGTTGTAGACCGTTTACACAATGTACTACGCCCGTTTATTCTTCGTCGTCTAAAGAGAGATGTGGAAAAGCAACTTCCAAAGAAGTATGAGCATGTCATATACTGTAGACTCTCTAGAAGGCAGCGGAATTTATATGAAGATTTCATTGCTAGTTCAGAAACACAGGCAACATTGGCAAGTTCGAATTTCTTTGGCATGATTAGTGTTATCATGCAGCTCCGCAAAGTCTGTAACCATCCAGATCTTTTTGAGGGTCGTCCTATTGTAAGTTCATTGGACTTGCCCGGTATTGACATGCAGTTGAGCTCTCCTGTTTGTACCGTCCTTTCTTCTTGTCCATTTTCTCAGGTTGATCTGAAAGGCCTGAATCTTGTATTCACCCATCTTGACTTCACCATGACGTCATGGGAAGTTGATGAAATTGCATCAAATTCTTGTCCCATTAACTTATTTGAGGAAAAAATACCAATGGTTTCAGAGAGTGGGCCATTTTCCTATGTCAACTGTGACCGAAGGAGAAATCCAGGAGGTAATATATTTGAAGAGATACATAGGGCCCTCTGCGAGGAAAGACTGAGACAGCTGAAGGAAAGGGCAGCCGCCATTGAATGGTGGAATTCCTTAAGGTGCCAGAAGCAACCTGTTTATGGAACTAACCTAAGGGAGCTTGTCACCGTCCAAGATCCTGTCTTTGATCTTCACAAGATGAAGAATAGTTCTTCCTGTTACTTGGATTTCTCATCAAAACTTGCAGCTATGGTACTCTCACCAGTGGAGCGATTACAAGAAATGCTTGACCTGGTTGAGTCCTTTATGTTTGCAATTCCCGCTTCACGAGCCCCTCCTCCTAGTTGCTGGTGCAGTAAAAGAGATTCTCCTATTATTTTGCAATCCTCTTATGTAGAAAAATGCACAGAAGCCTTCTCTCCTCTTTTGACACCAATCAGACCTGCTATTGTTCGGCGACAGGTGTATTTCCCGGACAGACGTCTGATACAGTTTGATTGTGGAAAGCTCCAGGAGCTCTCGGTCCTGCTAAGGCATTTAAAATCGGATGGCCATAGGGCTCTAATATTTACTCAAATGACTAAGATGCTTGATATTCTTGAAGCATTCATTAACTTATATGGTTACACATACATGCGCTTGGATGGCTCAACTCCGCCTGAGGAGAGACAAACACTAATGCAGAGGTTTAATACAAATCCAAAGTATTTTCTTTTTATATTGTCAACTAGGAGTGGTGGTGTTGGGATTAATCTTGTTGGGGCAGATACTGTAATTTTTTATGATAGTGACTGGAATCCTGCAATGGACCAGCAAGCTCAAGATCGATGTCACAGAATAGGACAGACAAGGGAAGTGCATATTTATCGGCTTATCAGTGAGAGTACAATTGAAGAAAACATATTAAAGAAAGCAAATCAGAAGCGCATGCTTGATGATTTGGTCATACAAAGTGGTAGTTACAACACGGATTTCTTTAAGAAGCTTGATCCGCTTGATATTTTCTCTGGTCATGGGGCTTTTTCTGTTGACAAGTTGCATGAAAGTTGCTCGAACCCTGTTGAGGGCTCCAAAAATGATATGGCAGTTCTGTCAAACGATGATGTTGAAGCAGCTATTAAGCAAGCGGAAGATGAAGCGGATTATATGGCGCTGAAAAGGGTAGAGCAGGAAGAGGCAGTGGACAATCAAGAGTTTACTGAGGAGGTCGTTGGGAAAATGGATGAAGATGAATTTCTAAATGATGATGACATAAAGGCTGATGAGAAAACCGCTGAAGAAGAGAGCTGGGGAAAGCCCATTGCAAACAAAGATAAAGATGCTAGCTTTTCTGAGAATAATAAAAATGAAGCACAGGCACTTACTGTTGTGGGCGATGATGATGATATTGATATGTTGGCTGATGTAAAGCAGATGGCAGCTGCAGCATCTGCTGCTGGACAAGCAAGTTCGTCATTTGAGAACCATCTTCGACCAATTGATAGATATGCAATGCGTTTTCTGGATCTGTGGGATCCTATAATTGACAAATCAGCTATAGAATATGAGGTTAATATGAACGCAGAAGAATGGGAGCTTGACCGTATTGAAAAGTTCAAGGAAGATCTTGAAGCAGAAATTGATGAAGATCAGGAACCTTTGTTGTATGAAAGTAAGTACCTACTGCGAGTGGTCACTTGTGAAAATTCTGTGTTCATACTTTATGATGTATGGGTTTGTAGAAGTATGGTCTGTCATGATCATATTTTTACACAGTATTTGAGGATTAACTTCACAATCTTTGGCCAATTTTAAATGCTCTTCAATTATGCATTTTTAGTTTTCGTTCTTGTTGCAGGTAACTGTTATATTGTAATTCTGTTGTTGTTGTCCTTTACTATTTTTCTCTCAAAATAATTCAATATATTATATTACCTGACTAACAATTGTAAACATCAAACTTTTAGGGTCTTCTTGTTTGAATTTTGTCTTGGTTCAGTATTAATCTCTTTTCTCAATACCATTTTTAGATGCACATCTTCTCAAACTTATGCATAACCTTTAAAACAGGATGGGATGCAGATTTTGCAACTAAGGCATACCGAGAACGTGTTGAAGCTTTAGCCCAGCAACAGGTCAGTGAGATTTTACTGATATTGTGATGTTATTGGTGCAAAATCAGTCTCCATCTAATTGTCTCGATTCATTTGCAGTTGCTTGACGAACAAGAATCTGATGCTCAAGACACAGACAAGAGTTATGAGGCTCTAAGGTATGGAAGTCGTAAAAGTTAGGTTCCTGAATTACCTTGATAATAATTCTTTTATCGGCAAGCAGTTCTTCTTAACAATATGAAATGCAATCATGGTTTCTTGTCATCTTCAGACATAACTTTGAGAATATATGCTAATCAAAGATTTTAATTCTTGGTTTGAAAGAAATTACATGGGAACAGTTTTTCAAGGTCCAAACTTTCACTTGTTGGCTGCAAGTGTTGCTCAGTATCGCCATGTGACTTTATTTTATGTAGAGAACTGTTGCGGTAAAATAGCTGAATTTGGCTTACTAAGGTGTTTTCCATGCACAGGAATGTGGAAATCGCTGACCGTAAGTCCAAGTCTAAGAAGAGGCCGAAGAAAACAAAGTTCAAGTCTTTAAAGAAAGGACCTCTAGCATCTGAAATGGGTGCTGCCTCTAAGGAAATACCAGTTGAATCAGATGATGATGATCTTTCCCTTGAGATGATGTGTATGGATTCCCCTCCACGTTCACCACCTAAGAAAAAGAGAAAGAAGGTTGTAGCTGAACCAGAAGAACAAAAGAACTCGAGGAAAAGCTTGAAGAAACTCAAGAAAGCCCCTGATTGGAAGCTTTTGGAGGATTCTAACTCTTCATTTATGCAGTTAGTGGAAGCCAAGGAGTCAAGGTCTGTAGACGGAGTTAATGACTTTGATCTAAAGTCAAACCGAAGCAAGGTGGGAAGCAAGATATCCATCACGGCGATGCCAATAAAACGTGTTATGGTGGTCAAGCCAGAAAGATTTAAAAGGAAAACTAATGTTTGGTCTAAGGATTGCTTTCCACCTCCAGATTCCTGGTCATCTCAAGAGGATGCCATGTTGTGTGCAATTGTACACGAGTATGGCACCCATTGGGCCCTTGCTAGTGATGCAATTTACAGTATGCCCGCGGGTGGTTTTTATCGGGGGTGGTTTCGCCATCCTGTCCATTGTTGTGAGAGGTTCCGTGAACTTGTTCTTAAATACGTGTTCCCTGCTGCAGACGGTTCTAATGTTGAAAAGAACACTTTGTCTGGATCTGGGAAGGCGCTTCTCAGAGTCACCGAGGTAATGAACTTACCCTCCTTGTTTGTTGCAATAATTTGAATGTTACTTTAGATTATAATCACAGGCTAACAAGCAGTTGTTGCTTGGTTATATGATAACTTATAATGTAATGAAATTCCTCTTATCTTCAATTTGCCCAAATATTGTTGAGAAGCTTCCTTTAGGTATTATTATCTTGAACAAAGTATAGTATATGACTATATGTGACGCAATGTGCAAATATATTAAAAAAAATGTTTTCTAATCTTCATTTGAAAAAGTGATAGACATAGATTCTTATGCATAGCTGGAATATCAGTTGCTTGTCGGATGTGGGTTGTAGGGATAAAAGACACGGGCATAGCAGAACAATCTCCAGTTGAATTCTCGTATTGAAACTTCCATTTGTATGACATTCCTCCAATTTTCTGCCATGATAGATTTATCCAATTTTTTCTATGATTGATTTAATTTTATGTTTTCACCATTTCATGTTCATGCTTAAGTGCCTTCTTTTTTTTCAAGGCTGTAAGATTTGTAGGCCTTTGCCCTTAAATTGTTGTTGCATGGAAGGTGAAGATGATATTAGCATTTGAAAGCACACTTACTTAGTTGTCCATCTTCTATCCCTCATTTGCATTCTTATGTTTGACCGAAGAAATTATTTCAGGTTTAAACATGCAGTTTTACTGTGGGATAAACCTAACCCATCTGTTAACCTGTGTAAAGATAGTATGGTTTTAATGTAAATCTTCTGCTTTGGCTGATTGAGCCCTTGACAAGAAATTGGTCCACAACTGTTTTATGTAAAAATATGACGGTTTATCACTCTGGTCCTCTCCTCAGTTGATGAGTTCCACACTCAACATGTTTGGGCCTCTTCCAAATACGAGTAACATGGCTTTCTTTTGCGATAAAATCTAACATTATTAGTCTCAATGGGCCCATTTTGATGGGAAAAAGGAATAAGAAACATGTGTCATTGATCTTGATCCTGCACCGATGAAACTAGTAATGACTTGTCACTGACAACATATTGTATTTCGTGTAAAGTCTAAGAACATCAGGTTTCCATGTCCTTGTTACTAATATAGGGATTCCAAATCAGGAGTATGTACTCGTATAAGATTATATTGGTTTACTTGAACATATATGCTTAAAGTTATTGGCAATGAATGCTAATTTGGTGAAGTATGCCTCAGCAGTTGCATGTCTCAGAGTTGTGCAAACCATTTACTTTTATTTTTTTTCAATCACCTATTCATCGTCTGTTAACTGATACATTCTCTAACAAGCGCATGTTGTTGATCATAACATATTTTATGTATTATTTGTTGAAATAGCATGAATAATTGTAAAATCTGTAGTACTTGAAAGATTAATTCGTTCCTAATATTTAATTGACTCCACATTTACTTCATGTTGAATAATCTGATTTTCCTTAAACTGCATTCTGTGAAGTGGTTATATTATTCCAAAATATTTATCTGGTCCTTTGTCAGTATTCTTGTCCATGTACCATCCTCATATCTTATGTTTGCATGTGTTGAAAAGATATGAATTTTGACGGTATAATTTTTGCAGGATCAAGCTCACACATTGCTTAATATTGCAATGGAACAGCCCGATGCTGAATTGCACCTTCAGAAACATTTCCTAGCCGTACTCTCTTCTGTTTGGAAGGCAAAATGCTGTCTCGAGCGCCGTCAAAGCACACTTCATTTTCGAAATGGTTTCTATTCAAGCAGTTTGTCTTCTCAGAGTTTTGGCAAGATGAAAGAGGGGCTAACGGGAAACATAGATTTGAAGGTTTTAAGGCAGAGCAGTAAGCTAGTCTTGGCAGCACTTCTCAGTGATGTCAGTGAAAAGCATCATGAAGAACCTTCTCATGTGATCACACAGCTTGAGACCCAAACATTGGGTGATCAGGTAGATATAACAGTTGACTTTCTCGAGGACCATGGTGTCTATGAAGCAGCTTTCCCTTCGTCTATTACCTTATCAGTATATGAGCCAGAATCACAAGTGCACGGAAATGAATTTCATGGAGAAACTTTGCTGGCTGAATCTTCTTGCAGAATTGCTCAGACTCGACTCAGGTAATATACATGTCATCATGTTTTGTGTCAAAAGGTTTCTTACTTTGTTCTTTTATGGACAAAATGACTAATTACCCCTTGAAAGTATTTCTGGACTCCCACCTTACCCCCCAAAGTATCAATTTACTTGGTTTCCTGCTATACTGTGTATGGGTCCAATAATGGCCATTATGTGAGCCCACAGTCAAATACTTAAAGATTGATGACGTAACAATGTTTTTTCTTCTTTTCATTTCCTCCATTTCCTGCAATCCCAGAAATGATTTTCCGTTCGAAATACCCAAACTTTTTACCCTTTGTTCCTTTTTTGGAATTGGACACTTATTTCAGGGATGGGAAAATCAATTCTATAATGTAAAAAAGCACATTCACGTTGTTGATTTGTTAAATATTCGGCTGTGGGCTCACAGAATGGCCACATTGGGCGCACAAAAGTAGTATAGTAGGGATGATAGGTAAATTGATACTGAAGGGGGGAAGCGGTAGTTCAGCAATACTTTTAAGGAGTAGTCTCTCATTTATATTTAGTTGCAACTCAGTCAATATGTAGTCTTGAGTTTTTTTTATTTTATTTTGTCGATTTTTTTTACAGGCTTGCTTCGGAAGCTTGTATTGATGGTGAAGGTACAGGATGGGCATCATCGGCTTTTTCTTCTTGCAGTATTGCCAGGAACCGAGCTGGAGGGAAGTCTCAAGCTTTGGGCAAGCACAAGTCTTCTTCAGATTCATCAAGACAGCAAAAGTCTAAAGTCCAAAAGATAGCAGAGTCATATGAAGACTCACTCTCGCTTACCAAATCCTTCCTTCCATCGCCAAGATTACATATTGATGATTTCCCTTCTGTTAATTTGGAATGTGGAATTGATTATCATTCCTTATTGCCTTCTGACGAATCCCTTCTTTTAGATATGCCCAGTTCAGAATTTATGCCGGAGGAGTATGATCCAGAATTTTTAACTGGTCTTGAGGATCTGGGATCGCTGCAGGATATTACTGATGTTGGTTGATACATAGATTTGAGACTCTACATGAAGGTTGATATATAGATTGAAGACTCTACATGAAGGTTATCAGTTTTGGTGGATTCTGCCCGTTTTGGGCATTTCAAGTGCTGGGCCTGTTGTTCTCGGAACACACATTATCTCCACGCAGGTTGGCAGAGAATTGGATGGAGGATATCAATGGATGGCAAATTTGTAAACTGTACAGTATT